TGTAGCGGCATATTTTTTAATGAACATTTTAAAATATAGTTTGTCTATTTTGAAATTAAAGCAAAATATTTCAGTTACATACTTAAACCAAACGTCAATATGCACCATTTCCGCACGATTCCCTATTTTTGGCTTGAGTAATAATAATTTATGATTGTGCAGCAGAAGCTTCACCAGATTGGTGTGAGCCGCCAAAGCCAAAGTCAAAGCCAAAAAAATGAAACAACTAAAAAAAAAAGAAGAAAATCAAAAGAAAAAAAACTACGTCATACTGCGCAAACTGTGTCTGACCTGCACAGCAGGCGCTGGCGGAGTTTTGTTCTTATCTTATCCTGCCTGTCGTGCTTGGAACAGAGAATATGTTCTTATTTGTGAAATTGCTTACTTGCGCCGATCAGAGACTAACTAGTTTCTACCATGAATGCTGCTGTTGTTTGTCCGTCTGGTGTCTGGTTGCTGTCCAAGTGCGCCTTGTCATTGTGGTTATGTTTGGGGATTGTTTAACAACAATATATGCAGACAAAGAAACAAACAAGGGATTACTTGAAACTCGTTGATGGCTTGGTGCCATACCAATATCTTGGCAACAAGCCTCGGACCCCCTGGTGACAAACACAGCCACATCCGATGTTCTTTCACCTACATAAGGATGTTTGCACTCCAACATCAAAAGCCTACAACGATAAAAATCAAATATCCGTCGAGAAAACTTAATTCACCAAATCGTACTCGTCTTTGATCTAGGGACCAGCCAGAAGTTGTTAATTATTAGAAATAAAATTATCTAAGAACAACCTAACGATCATATAAATATATATTAATTATTAAAAAGAAAATCATCAATATACAAGATTCATCTGCAAATATTAAAGACTGCTATATACATAAAACCAGATCAGCTATATCTGCAAGCATTTGTAACTTTAATACCCACTTTGTCTGTGCAAAGGGTAGAACATTATTTAATGTCTTACCTTTCACTTCAACATATCTGCCACCCAATCGATTGCTGACAGTTCTTTTCGGTAGCGAAATTAATTTCAACTTTTCAAACCCCTTGCCTTTGCTTGTTAAAATCACACCCAAACGAATTAAGACACGTGTTTGAGCAACTTGATTTTGTGCAAAGAATGCTTCCAACCCTGCCGACATACATAGTCAAAGTCTTACGTTCGGGGGGATCCATGCTGTGAGTTAATTCCTTTCGATGTGGTTATGAATTAGGCACAACTCATCATTTGCAGCATCTGTGACTGCAGCATTGGTGGATTGGTGGGAATAGGATGGGCGGATTGGGGTGGGGTGGGACCGGTCCGCCTTCACAAATATCGCATCAGACTCACAAACTTTGTGTTAACACCCAACAGCATTGCATTGCCGAAAGCCATCAGGAAGAACAATATGGCACGTGACACGTGCTTTACTGCTGCCCAGCGTCGTTATGTGACAACAAACAAATAAAACGTGCACCTCACACACACCCCCCCAACCGCCCTCGTTTCGTTCCATACTCGTATGTTGCAATGTTAAAAAACATAATGCCCAGCATACTATAAGTTTCCCACTAACAATGCGATTTATCATGCTATAAGAATTGTATTCTTCAGTCATATGTGTTGTAAGTAAGACGAGCACTTTCTGCTTTCTTTTCAATAACTTAATACCCTTTTATGTTTTTCTGAATTACAATTTGCTCTACATTATATAACAGTCCAATACAAATCTTGTTCCTTAAAGCACCCCAATATATGTATAAGAAAGGAAGAATGTTCCAGTCAGCTCGACTGGGCGATATCCTGACCCCCATCTGTCAGATATATTAAATCGATTAAAACACTTATTCTTGTTTCATTGCCAAATTTGAATGGGTAGGCAACTGCACACTAAAAATTTAAAGTCTCTAGATTTTATATTCTCTTTCTCTGTATATATAGGACTTACGGTTATAAATATTGACTCGACTTTTGATGCTCTTCTGAAATAAATATTCTGTATGGAGATGCTTCCTTCTACCAACTCCAAACTTTTCTACAACTTCATTATTCAGCTTTTACTTATTTTCAAGCACCGAAGATTCCGTACCCTTGTAGACCAAAGCCAAATTGCCGTCATCTAAATTTTGTATTCATTCAAAAATCCGAACGAGTTTTCCTAGTAATGTTAAATGATATCGTAATCGGATTTTGACCTCTTTGGTGACCTCTTTTATGGCTTAAAAATGTCAACGCTGTCTCCTGGTCAGTTTTTCAATTACTTTAAATTTAAATTGATATATCAAATTTAATTTGTATTTTAATTTATTTTGTACTTTTTGTGTCGAAAAAAAAATATATATTTATTTTATACTGTTCAAGCCTAAAAGTAGGCACTGAACAGGCAACAGCTGCTCCCATTCACCAACCGTTGGCAACGTTTACGATATGTGGCCTAAGTTTGTTCAAGTAACCGAATTCAATAGAAATTATGCCTTGAAGCGAAAAACAAGTGTTTGTTTTCAACTCCTCACTTTGTACCAGCACTGTGGAAATCAAGGAGAAAGATATACTACAATTGAGCAGTTATTCAAATTTCACCACGAATCATCAATTTAATATACATCATACACACGTTTAGAGCCGGGCAGTATCCGTTGATTTCTGATGGTATTTGTACTGGACGACTTAAAACACGCTTAGATGGGGTGAGTTTCACACAGGGGTTACTATGTAGCCAACATCGCTGACTCTGATTCTCTCCGGCCCAAAAGGGGCAAAGGCATGCGCGCTGGGTTTTATTAAGGTAAACAAGGACCGACGTTCGGTATTTGTGTTTGTTTTTACATCACTGTCAGTGCGCTGAGCACTGACTTTGACACGTTTTCTGACTTAATTTTAGTTTATTGCTTTTTCTCTGTGTGTGTCTGTGTGTGTCTGTGTGTGTCTGTGTGTGTCTGTGTGTGCATGCGGTGAAAATCATTGAGCATAGAGAGTCCTGTGCGCATACCACCCGTTCGACTGCAGTTTATGGCCAACACACACAGCGCAGACAAGAGTTGTTGCGACGTTTGTCACAGCCAAAGTCGACACGTGTTGCGGATGATATCCTTGCCGAATTGTGCTCCTTGTGCTCTTTTGAAGTCGCCCACTGACTGACTTTGCCTTTTGCGTTGACTTCTCTCCCAATTGGCGGGGTCGTCACTGATGCTAAGACGTGAAATTAAGTCAGCCTCCGTTTTTATTTTGGGGGTTGACGGCATGCTTTCAGAGCTCTCTACTTATGCATTTCACAGATATGAAGTTTTCTGTTTACTGTTCTCACGCTTGTGACTACCAAATGACGGATTGAATTAGGCAAATATTTGTTTATAGGGCGCTGGTCGCAATATATACAAGCCAATGTATGTACCCTTATTAGATAACATTGACTAAAGCAGCGACACAAGTCGCTTGATTAAACCCCACTGATAATGATAATTGTATATATTTTTTTTTAATATATTCATCTATTTTTGTTTTTTGTTGTTATTTGGAATAAGTTATAAATGTATTGCACGTGCCACTGCTTATCGTTATGATAAGCTAAAAAGGTGCATAAACTCGAATAAATTATGAGATTGGGCCAACATCAACATCTATATTTATTCAATTACCCTATATAATATGACTGAATTTCCGATTTTGTATAGAAACTTTAGAAATATGATATTTTTTTACTTTCGTACATATCAATGAAGCATAAATAAAATATTTATGAATGCATATTAGTGTTTATATTTTTGCACAATATGAAGTCAATCTATTACTCCGATACCAAAGTAGAAGGGTATATTATGTTTTATTGGACTGCTACGCCCCTACTTGCCGGCTGGGAAGTCGATAGCATCGATAAAACTCTAATCTCCCACAATTAGAAAGCTGGAGACACCAAACTTGGAAGAACGATTAAGCGTGACACTTTCCTTTAGCAACAAGCAGTTTTTATTATGAAGTTGAAGGTAGAATCACGTTTGCACCTTTAAGCGTAGTATTTATCTAGAGGTCAAACCATGATTGAAAAGTCCTTATTTTTAATTTCTGTTAATTTTGACTTAGTTATAGCTCTGGTAAATTTTAAAATAAGAGAATCACTGTTTTTTAAGTCGATTGAGTTTTGGTTCCATAATATATTAAAATATTATAATTTTTAATGTAGTATTTAGATACGATTCCTTGACCACATTAACCTCATCCACCTTGAAAAAAGCCTATATCTCCCGCGGTCTTAGAATTATCATCGCATCACACAATTTTATAGGTAGAGTAACCAAATTAAAAAGGTAGATTAATGAAACCCTTTTGGGTGGTGTTCAAATAGTAATAAGTAATTAAACAAGAAACAAACAGATCATTAGATGGACATCAAAGTAATTGTTTTTGCAAGGCAAATACTCATCCTCCCAATACCGAATATATTTCATGTACAAATGAATATGCTAAATGATTTTTATCATTCTCACAATTTTACTCATTTAATACAAAATGGATGTATACAAAAAATTCATTAAATTTTTAAACGTTATGCGGACCGAGTGGCCGTTCACAAGTGTTTACACAAGTCTTGAGTTTTAACTGAAAACATCATTTTCAGTTTGATGATGAATTCAAGTGCATGCCACGTTTCTCTGTTGCCGACATGCAGAACGCTTCTGTGCAGTCGACCCGACAGTATTTGCACAAAAAAGTTAATTAATTTAATGAAAGGTCCGCAAACTAGTGTAACAAGTTCAGTTGTCGTATACGAGTACATTTGTAATTGCATAAATAATGACTTGTGCCCTTTTCCTAAAAGGGGAAAAAAATACAGATAATGGATGCATTATATATATATTCGAATATACCCTGCCCATTACAAGTTTTAATTTTTGCACCATACCCACCCCAAAAGTATGCAACCATTTTTAAGTATACATTTTATAATGACCATTAATTCGAATTTCCACCCCTCATAATATGAAATGTATTTTTTTTTGCCAGATTTAAGTTTTTATTATGCTGAAAACAGTCGGCTTCTTTTGAATTGTTTATTTTGGGTTGCCGCTTAGGTGTATTACATCGGTTTTAGCTCTGAAAATATATATAAATATAGTTGGGACCTTATGCAGTCCTGGAAATAAAGATTTGGTGGATCTTCTGTTAGTTGATAGTTGATATTTGTTTCGCTTGTAGCTCTAAGCTGTTGTGCTGGTTTTCTTACATGTAAAAGATACATATTTTATTTATTATTAATTTACACGAAATCTTATAAAATAAATTAATATTCTTCCTTTGGTAGCTTTATCAGTATAAATACGCACATACAGACATACAAATATATGTATTCATACATGTAATTGTATAAGGTTAAAAATAAATTGGTAAAAAAATGTATACATTCGCCGCACTCAAATACATACTATATGAAGTTTCTTGAAATGTACATTATTATAATATCTATGTATATATTGTATGTGTAAAGACATCTACACTTCTTATGAGTACATCAATTTTATCGTTTAATCCTCAATATTTTCCGATAATTTGTGTAGATCTGAATAGTTTATTATGGCGCGATGTAGGAACTCGTATTGTGCCTGGAATAATATATTAAATTTAATTAGTATTATATTGTAAACTATAGATTTCCGGATATACTTACGAATGAATTTAAAAGTCCTGGTCGTTGAGATCGCAATTTTCTTGTTGTTGAACATATATCTACACTCTTCTCCAGTCTGAGATGCTGAACCAAAATGCACATGGCAACAAAAATTGAACTTCGATCAGTGCCCAAGCTGCCAGAAATCAAATAAAATATTGTTGCAATTTAATACCTATATACAAGATCAATCAGAAAATGAGTTTACCTGCAGTGAACTGTGAGGGGAGATCGGCAACCAATATTTTTGTGATTTTTATAATGCTTGTGAGCTTGGTCAACCAGCTCGATTATGCCCCGACACACTTCAGGAACTTCTCCATCGACAGTGGGCCAACCATTATATTGGAATTGAGTCACCTTAAGGGTATCGTCTATTTTGCAATTCGTTACATAGAACTCTCGCCGAGTATAATACGGGCAACTTTCACTGTGTACGTATTTTACGAGTATTTGATCATATTGAATCTCATCATCGGCCCAATAACGTGGACATTTCCTGGGACCGTCTCCAATCTATAATAGTTGTCAAATTAATCATGTAATTAATAAGATGCAAAAGACATTTTAGGCTTGCTGCAATGCTCACTTCAGATATCATAATTAGTGTAGAAACACTTTGCTCCGAAATCATTCTCCAAAAATCTCCAATTGTATTTTCCAAAGGATCTTGTGCAATTATAAATGATTCAGTATTATCATATCCTTCAATAAACGAAGCATTTATGTATGTCGAATTATCTTTCATTGGAATTGGGCTTAAAATAACCTGGAAAGCAAAAAATACCGGATTAATAAATAGATAAAATGAGTTGGTTATACAATTTAAAGCTTACTCTATTACGATCGTATGGAATAACATCATGGCACCTGTTCTTCGAAGTATTCTCTTCAACTTCGCCAACGCTGCAAGACTTATTTATCTCATCCGTTGTGTTAATTAATTTCTTTAATTTGAGAAGGATTATAGAAAATATATTGATATAAGCAAATAATTGTACGACAAACCTCAAATTCTGTTTCCAGCAAGCTTTTTCCTTCATTGGGCTTAAATTTTAAGGACTCGATGGTTGATGGCAATAAATTTAAGAGTATATCCGTATTTCCATATGTGGCAGTGTCCAACAATGCGCGGTATAGAAAAATGTATTGTTTCTGTAAATATGACATGATCTTAATGAATGTCAATCGAAAATCTAAAACTAAATTGTATATTATAAAATATTTATGTTGACTTACCAGCGATTGGACCAAAAAATTGCGCTGATGGCGTAAATCACACACGGTATTAAAAATGGATACCATATTTTCTTCCTCCAACTGTTGTACAAGAGAGTCCAATGCCACAAGGGTACCAGTTCTGCCAACACCTGCGCTGCAGTGCACCAAAATCGGTCCCCTTTGCACCGAGTAAACTGAATTTATTTGGCGTATAAACTTGATGATGCCATGCGGATGCTCTGGTGCCATGAAATCCTTCCAAGTTAGATAGTGGTACTGAGTTATTTGCCTATGATCTTCCTCGTCACCGATTAAATTTGATTTTGTGACATCTAATGACCGTATAATGTAGTCACCAGTTTTACGTTCAGCTGTAAAATTGACGGTTATTTCGCCAAACTGTTTGGAGTCGAAAACCTTTTCTGGCCAATATTTCGCGCATTTGGATTTGTTATATTCCTCTAGATTTGTAAGCATAACTATGATCTCTAAATGCTGTTCCCATATCATTCGCCAAAAATCGTTGATTGTGGTTTCCATTGGACCCTGAGCGCATATAAATTTCTTTCGTTCCTTATATCCAATGACAAAATTGGCATTTATATAATCAGTACATTGATTTCCGTTGGTTGGCGATAATTTAACTCTAGTTTGATCGTATGCTTTTATATCGGGATATCTATTCTTGCAAGCATTTTCCTTCATGTCGCTATTTTTCGTTGTTCGATCAGTAAAGCGATTTGGAAGCATTTCATATTCTCGAAGGAAACCATAATCCGTATCCTTATGTCGATTCTTGTACGCAGTAACTAAATCTGATTTATGAATAGGTCCTGTATCAAAGCCTTTCTGATTGCCAGACCCGATAAACTGGCTATGATTATTGATTCGACGTCCAAAAAGGGCTCTGAAATGATGAAAAATCATTCCTATAGACATAAGTTATACAGCGAGAAGCAGTAACAACTACCTTAACGAATCTCTCAAGGTCAGCGTATCTTCGTCAGGCATCGCGTTCTTTGTCTTCTGATGATGGATAATCCAAAATATTAAAAATATTATAATAAAGCCAAACGAAATAGCAACAGCTTTAATGCCGATATTCGTGTAAAACTTGGAATCATCTAGGGAATGAATTTGCTCTGCTTCAGTCGCAGGCGTAATCACATCGAAGTAGTCGCTATATGCCATGCGTACCGTATTTCCGGATCGAACTGTATTAACAAAAACATTTATTTAATTATTAGCTTGTCAGCTTGCCAGTTATTTTAATCAACCACCTACCAATTATCTCAAGGAAACCGGTGTAGTTTGCATCAATATCTATTTCTCCATCATAAATAGTTCCGATGTTATTTGAATTGGACATGTTTGTGTCTTCCCTCCCCATGGCAACTGTAGGATTTCGTCTTATTCTCATTTTACTTCCCAAAACTTTCAGTGCATGCTCTGTCAAATTTGCATCTTTAAGTAGTTGTTCTTTTTGAATCTGTGCTGGATTCTGGACGGATTCTAGAAAAGGTCAAAATGATGTGGTTGAAAATATATATCAAAATATAAGTAAGATTAAAAGGCGTGTTTACCTGTTTTTAAGGCACTTTCCACTTTCCGTAAGAATGGTGCACCGTCCAAGCATTTGCGACAAATGTTATCATTGTCGATGAGTTCTTCTTGTTTATTAAGAAATCGGGTTTCGTCTCCCAAAAATATTTCCGATTTAAAATATCGATTGCTAAGCATTTCAGCTAAATATGCATAGCTATTAGATTTGTTACTGTTATTATTATTGTTATTACTGTTGTCATGCAATTCAGCATAAGTAGCAATATTTAGTTTATCCGGAGTTGGGAGTTCGCTATTTCCGTTCAATATTTTGACAAGATAGAGTCGAGAGCAACAAATGGGTCCATTTCTTTCACTTATCTTGGGTAAATATAATTTTAAGACATATTTTGGGCCATTCTTAACCTTTGTCCACATTGTCTTTCCAATTGTTTCAGGCGTTGATATCGGCATAAAACAATTTGTTACCGCTGCCTCACCATTTTTCTTATGCCTCGTAATGGCGGAAACGGTAACAGTATAATTTGTATTTGGACTAACGCCTTCATAGACCGTCTTATGACTGGGCTCATCCACGCGACGTATTTTGGGGCCCCACTTCTCGCTGAACACAGTGCCCTCGTGGGTATACGTATAGTTCCCCTCCAAGATAATTAGATATGAAATTATTTTGCCATTTGGTGTTTGGGGTACGTTCCAGCCAATTGATATGGAATTGAGACGGGAAATGTTCTGTTGATTGCAATGAATTTTCAAATTGGTCGGTTTCGTTGAGACACCGTCCATTGTTGTGCCATTAACAACTTCAGACCATGGACCGCAGGTCTTGGTTAGATCACTGCATGCCCGCACTTGAAATTCATAGTCAGTGGCTGTCTTCAGTTTATCAAACATATAGGGTAGATTTCTTGAGTTCTGTTGGTAAATCGCTTTCTCGATTAATTTCGGCACGTCGCCCGATTCGGAAACGGTCAATTCATAGTATTGAATATATTCAATTAAATCGTGCGATGGTGGACTCCAGCCAATCGTAATTGTCGATGCCGTGCTGCCCGTTGTTTCCACTTTGGGTATAAAAATTGGATCATGATCTAAAGTCGTCACACTGAATGGATACTGATTTGGGATGCCATCACCGATTGAGTTCTTTCCCGTAATACGTAGATTATAGGTTGTATTTGGGCTGAACGCATCCAGGACGCTGGATGTGCTATTACCGCTGATTACTTCCTTATAATAGGTGAATGTCGGCGAGCCTTCTTGCGAATACTGTATGAAGTATTTTTGTATGGGATCGTTGCCATCGTTGACCGTCCAATTTAGGAATATTTTGCTAGCACCAACAGCTTTAACATAATCAATGCTAATTTGTGGCACTTCCATTACAAGTAATGCGATTTCTTTCGAAATAATCTCAGCCTCATTTTCCCCATAAAAAACACATTTATATGTGCCATTCTCCTTTTTATACACCTCGGTGAATTCTAATGTGAAGTTCACTTGCGTATCGCTCAAGCGATGTATGGTGGAAAATGTGTCGAGGAAAGCAAAAGCGCTTCCATCTTTAAGCCATTTGAGCTGCTTTTTTGTGGTAATGTTTTGTGGATAAATATCAAATACACAATATATAATGGCACTTTGTTTGATCTTTCGCTTTATGTTTTCGACGGTGCTCTCAACAATTTTTGGTTGAAGATATGGCTGCAAATTGTATTCAACGGTTGCATTAGTCTGAGGATTTTTACATATATAGTTTCCACTATCCGAAATGTTCACTGCACGTATGTGAAGAATATTTTTATACGTTTTTATAGTGTCCAAATTGCCATTTTCATCCGCACTTGTAATATCAGCTGTTTTTGTAAATCTGTAAATATAAATTCACTCATTAATATTGTAGCGACAATAAAATAAACTATTGCAACACGTTCTTTGTTGAACATACATAGAATGGGAACGGGAAAGATAAGGTTAGTAAATTGAGTTCAAATTAAAGACTGGCTGCTAACATTGGAAGCTTCGTGGAGTCCATAACAATGCCTGCCGATGATAATACATGCATACGGCCTTTAACGAATCTGAGTTGCCTCATGCCTACAAATCTTTAAACATATCAATAAAGTGTGACGCACCTGTTATCAAACTTATGGTTGGTTAGATTATTAAACGTCCATGTTGCAGGCTCTTGGTCAGTTGTACATTCAAAAGTCGAGTTTCTTCCAATTTCAACCCATTCTGAAATAGAGAAGAGAGCAACCAATATATTAAATATAAGATTTTCAAATGCAAATACTCTTAATGTAATATAATAAAAATAATTTAGCACTACAATTTTTACAAGCAGGTTACAAACAATATTGCCATTTATTGTAATTCAATATTTTCATATAAATACAATTAACATGTAGAAAATAACATTAGTTTTTGTTGTAAGTTTGTATATTTAATTCTGGCGATTACAAATTTTATTACACATCCCCCAAACTAGCTGCTGTTGTTGTCTTTTTTCCTCTCACACACTACTACTATACTTAATTTAAAGTCGTAAAAAATGTATGAATCATTGTATCTTCTAGTTGAGCAACCCAAAATTCTTAATTGTTGTCATTTTGATTTATATGCCCACAACAAAACACATTTGTTTTAAGAGATAAGCCTAACAAAAATTTGTTTCACAGTTGATTTATCTTATCTTATTCAGTAAGAAAAAAGGGTGTAGACGCTACCAAAAATAATACTAATCAGTTCTCTAAATCAGACAACTCCAAATTAAAAGCGTAAAAAATGACCATCGATTTCGAATAATTTCCGCTTTAGCTCTGTTTTTTATAAAGATACAATCAAAGATAAACTTTTTTGTATTTTTTATTTGCAATTTGAAAGCGGCTTTTTACACCTTTTATCCTTACTACATACATATGAGTCTGTGGGTGTATGTGTCTGTGGGTGTGTGTATATATTAGAGTACACACTTGTATGCGAGCATTTGTATCTAACTGTATACAAAAACAAAACAAAAACAAAATCAAACATAAAAAATTAACGTTTTAATTGACTTCTTTTATAATGCATAGATATTTGAATTTAGATACCTTTACTGAATCCTTTCGCAAATAAGTTAGTAAATAAAAAAAATATAATTATCACATAGGCATCTCTTCGGTGTTCGTCAAAACACGCCATCGCCTTAAAACTATGTGGGTCCTTTTCAGTAATTCAAAGGGCACAGATAGTCCCTCTCCGTTTTGTATAAATTTCACTGCAGCACACTTTTATAGCCACATAATTAAAATCTTATTTACGCTGCTCGTTTAGTTAATACTGGCTGAGTTCTTTTTGGCACAGGCGATTTAGTGTTGAAAAACATAATAAAAAAAAGTATTCTATGAATTTATCTATCACACAGAAAGAACCATGAGAACATTCATCGTTTTTGGAACACAAGAGAGCGAAACATAACAGATAAAAGGCTCTACAATTATATAGTTTTCACTCACTTCACAATTTTCGACTCTTAACATTTAAAAATGTAAAAGACTGTTGCCTTAATTTTTATCTGATTTAATTTGCTATCCCAAAATGTGATATATAAAGTATATTTCAACATGAATGCTGCTTTGTAAATTAGAGAATTAGTCCTTGTGCCGTTGCCCTTTAAATAAATTAGTTCTATAAATGTAAGTGACCAAATTACAATGAATATTCAATTACTTGTTGAGAATAACGACTTCTTACTATATAAATAATTTTATATTGATTCAAAAAATTTTAATCGTTTCATTCCATTGAAAGTATAAATTCTGCAGCTATCTTGACGCTCAGAATAAGTACAGTGTTGCATTTGATTATCGATAAAAGTAGATGCGGCTTTGATGTTTAATTCACTTTTTTATTGCCGGCGCAACTTGTATTCTATTTATCATAATTTTGACAAATAGTAGTGTATAGTTTTTAATCAAAGACTAATAAATTCAAACTCCATTATTGAAATACATATATTTCAAAAATGAAATTAGTGAGGTATGAAAAAGGCGCCGAGCTCAACCACAACCCCTAATTGTATATATACACACACACATATAAACAAGTTTTGCCAAATCGTATACACGCAAATAGGCATGTGCAGCTGCGTGTGGATAAATAGTGTAAATGAATATAATAATTAAGAGCGAAAATGTGCAATAATTTAATATATTTATATATTTGTAAATATGTAAGACAATGCTTTTTACATATCCTCTGCACGACAAATGCCTGATTTGTATGGGTTGTATGGTGGAACATTTTAAGCGCCAAATTTAACTGTTTATATGTGTAAAATACAAATAGATTGGAACTAATAACAACTTTGTGAATGACAATTTAAAAAGAATCGCAAAATAGGTTGTATTATATTATATACATAATGTTGTGAAGGGCATGAAGAGCTTCATCATCTATATTCATGTTATAAACGTTTACCCAATTAGGGCTTAACATTTATATTTAATATTTTAATTGATCTATAATACTGTTATCTAGAGAATTTATTGTCATATAAACATTTTCCCAATTCAGGCTTCAATATTGTTTGACAATATATATATATATATATATATATATATATATATATATATATATATATAGTTTATCTTTAATATTTAATATTGTATGACAAATAATATATATTATTATTATAATTTGTGTACTATCTTCAGATTCCTGATGAAACTCAGTCACGAGACTGTAACAGTTGAGTTAAAAAATGGCACTCAAATCCATGGCACAATCACTGGAGTCGATGTTGCGATGAATACCCACCTGAAGAGTGTTAAGATGACCATAAAGAACAGAGATCCCGTACATTTGGAATCGCTGAGCATCCGGGGCAACAATATACGATATTTCATATTGCCGGACAGTCTGCCACTGGAAACGCTGCTCATCGATGACACGCCAAAGTCAAAGTCAAAGAAGAAGGACAGTGGAAGGGTTGGAAATCGTGGCAGAGGCAGAGGCAGTCGTGGTCGCGGAGGTCCGCGGGGACGCGGCAGAGGCAGAGCACCCTCCAGACGTTAAATATATAGTGATGAAACAAAAAGATAAATGTATGAATACGAATTACAAGCGCCCGGTACAAAATACATTTGGGTACTTTTGGAAGAATAATAAATTTTTGATTTTATAATATATATAGCTTTTTTCTAAAGATAAGCATATTTGCTTAGTAGTAAAGTAGTGACTTTGTATTTCACAAGTCGTATTAATGTATTTTTGCTTCAATTTATTCATCAATTTGAAATGAATAAATAAGATAATCACTACCTGAACTCCACTTCCGTTCGTATCAGCAGCTGGCAAAACTGCATAATCGATAATATCGATAGGTTTTTGCTCACTTTGCCTTTTTCGATAGCCGTGCTTGCCACCATGATAAAATAGTTAAGTTGAGTTCTTAAGCAAGTAGTGAAGTGCCCAAAAGTATTTATCAAAAATAAAAATTTGTCTGTTAAAAAAAGGCACATTCTCTTTGCACATTTTGCTATGTTCAGCAAATTGTATATGCTTGAGTCTTAAAATAGGTACACAGCAATAAAGCTTAATGTAATCGATAGTTTTGTAGTTAAGCATTACTATGCATCCAGTTGACGGTCACACTGCCTATGTTCAGTCTGAATTCTTGTTTTTGTTCAACATTTTAAGTTTTTGCGTTTGCCGTTGAATTTGTGTATTATGCCACCCCCAAGACCAAAGGGGATAGGATTTACAACAGGGGTAACACCAGCTCGACCCGGTTCAAACACCCCCATGTCCGAAAGGCAACAAATGGCTTTGCTAATCCAAATGACAGCAACCTCCTCAACAGGTAAGCAGCCAGCCAGCCCCAAAACATACATAAATCTGTCCATGTTCGCAACGCATCGCATCTACATACAAAAGTAAATACATACAAACAATGGCGAATACATACAAAATACAATACAAGATGAAGTCACACGCAGCACACCTAAAATAATAATAATAACTAAATAAACCCGACTATGAGCCTACAATCAAATCGAGGTGTATATGTGTGTGTCTGTGTATATGTGTCTAAAAGTAGATGTATGTAAATGTATTGTGTATGCGAAGTTTCCAATGAGTTCTCTCTCATTCATAATTCTTTCACTCTGACCACGCCTAGCGTCTTTTTTCGGACGAATAGAAAACGACTGAAGCAGTTACTTTTTTAATACACCATTATTAGTTGTACGTATATATATATATATATATAAATATATATATATGTTATGTGAGTGTGTATGTTTAATAAAAACTGTTTATTCATGTATTATGCATATGTGTGTATATATTTATAAGAACACCCTGCTCGCAAATACATTTACTGCAGCGGGTGTTTTGATCCTTCAGATAAATATGTAACATATTTTTATTTTAAATCCGTCAGCTTAGTTTTAAATACTAATGTTGACAGTTTGTTGGTTATATCATAGAATATATAGGATACATTGATGTTTCTGTGGGATATAACAACTGAACTTAAGGTAATACCTAATAATATTGTTTAGTTTAATCATATTTTTATTTAGGTGTACAATGGTCTTGTGTACATATTATGTAACATGCAAATGGAAGCATCTCCGATAAACAAATTAATTTATTATTGCTTTTATTTCTTATTTTAGAGACAGCGCGAACGCATTCAAAAAAAAATGATAAGAAAGGAGATGCCGATGTTGAAGAAATCAATGTGAGCGAAAAGCAATTAGAGATTGTGGATACGAAGGATACGAAGCCATCGACGGAGGAGAGTTCAACGGATAGTAAAAGTGCCGAGACGACGACTGCAGCGCAAAACGTGACAAGCAGCAGCACGAAGCGAAGTTTCTCAGATGTCGAGGAGGATTTCGAGGAGCATGGTGACGACATCAAGAAGAAGAAACGCAAGGATTTAGATAACCCAAAAGATGTAAAAAATCCATCCACCAAAATATCATCAAAACTCGATAAAACCTCAAAGTTAGCAGCGACAAAAAATTCACCATCAGCAAGTAAAATAAGCACAACAGTTGCGGACAAAGAGTTGGAAGTAAACAAGACGCTTGATATCGAGAATAATGAGACAACAGAGAACAGCGAGGATTACAAGAGCAATGACAGCCTGTACAATAATAATGGCGCACTGAAGGTGCCACCCTTGAAGATCGTAATACCCCAGCAGAATTGTTCTATTGACACCGAGGGGAATGTGCTGCGAACTGGCAAAGTAGCAGCATCCCGAAATGCCGCCTTGCCTTACGTCGTCAGTTCGAATAGTGATTCCATTGACACCATATTGTCCAACCAATGCCTTAGTCCGCACGAGAGTAGTCCACAAAAAGTGAACATTGCCTGCTCCACAATACTCGACGATAAGAACATTAAGCTATTCAATGATGAGAAAAATCTGAGAGTCCTGCGCAGCTCTTATCGCAGCGGAGTGACGAGCGCTGAACGCAGCTCGAACAATTCATCGCCGCAAATGCAGAGCAGTTCACCATCGCCGGCATCCTCAAATCATGCCACCGACAATGTGGACATTAAGGGATCCTATACAAACATGACAGCCAGTCCCATACAACATAATCAATTTGATCATGATGTTTTACCCAACGTGCCGAGTCCTTCGACCTCATCGACGTCATCGTCCAAGGATATTATCTCATCGTCGCATGTGGATCTTCATCCGCGCAAGCGCAAGATAAGACCCAAGAATAGCAATGATGACAACTCGAAGCATTCAAATGCGGATAACAACTCCTCCTCGTTGGCATCGGGCGAAACGCATCCACATGATTATCCATTTACGAATGGATTTCAAATGTTCTTAAATATACGACGACAAGTGGAGAAAAAGTGGAAGAATCTTTATCCCGTTAAGCCAAGACCTCCGCAGGGATACAATGATTATTTGCTCACCAAGAAATCATATCTCCTGAGGCGAAATGTGAGTAAGCCGGAAATTCAAATACCCGATGCCATTCCGGAGGAGATGCGAAAGTTTTACGTGGAACAGGAAAAGGCGAGACAAGAATTAACCGAAGAACACATTGTGGAACGAGAGAAACTTTGCCTGAATGTCGAACAGGAAATAATCCGAGTGCACTCGAAGGCAGCCAGAAGTATATCCGGGCAGTGTGCACCGTATTCCGTGTGTACATTCCTCAAAGATGACGAAATCTATAATATGATCACGCCGGAGCAGGATGAGAAGGAGAAAAGTGCTCGCTGTCGTTTCAATGGCCGATTGCTGCTTAGCTGGCTCCAAGATGTGGACGACAAGTGGGAAAAAATCAAGGTATATCTATACTATATCATTTATTTGAAATTGAAATTCATAATTTTGAATTTGATTTGTAGGAATCGATGGTTCTACGGCAGCACAATGAGGCGGAAAGCCTTCATGCCGTACAAGTGATGGACTGGAATATTTGCCTGAAACAAAATCAATTGTATGATTACATATTCGAGTCCAGCGAGGATCGTGTTCATGTGCCCATCGTTCATGTTGGCGAAGATTTTGACATTTTACCAGCGTGAATTTGGTGTTTATAACTTGACGAAAATGCATCTTTAAATATGTGAATATTAAAATGTAAAAATTACCAAAAAACTGTTCAATTTTTAACTTAACAAATCGTTTCTTGTAAGAGAGCGAAGAAATAAAAAAATTGAATAAGAGCGGCAAACAATTGAGTGTCAATGAGTGCCACTGCAGACAGGCACACATTGGCAGTAGCTGCTCCCGGCTTTGCTCCAATTGGTGTGATGATTGATTAGGCCAATGTCAAGAAAACATGTACATTTGAGCTAGTGACAATATTTATTAAATGCAATAACAGAAAATTTCCGTTTATAGAGAAGGCCGAAGAAGACATTTAATGTCTGTGTTATTATTGGAGATCCACATAAAAAAAAAACACCCCCAACAATTCTAACAATGAAAATGAGAAACTTATTTAAATTGCATTTATTTTATTTATTTATTTTCACAATTGAATTATTTGATTTATTTTTTTGTCATATTGTTCAAAATATTACGCGCAAAGTTAACCATCTCCTGCAAATAGAAGAGAAAGTCGAGTAAGCAAAGATTTCAAGATTGATTTTAATAATGTAAAATTACTTACTTCACATTCTTCCAATAATTGTTTGTTACCAACTAATTGCTTAAGAATAGTCTGAGCCTGGGCATTCTGTTTTTGAGTGGTGCTCCAGTTAAAATTTGTTGAAAGCGCCGAAAGAGCGCTTAAGGTGGACTCCAGTTTGTTATCATATTCGTTTTTATTCTCCAAATTCCCTAATAGAATCGAAACTGCATTTTCTTTGTAGATAAGCTCTGTAAGAATGAATTAATTTAATTTTAATTATATTTATTTTAGTTGCTTATTATTATTAACTTACCTCTGACTGCGCTTATGTTGGATGCCAAGGATGCTATTAGAAAGGCAGCTCTTATGTAAACTGAATCATGTTTAGAGTTTAGACAGGAAACTAAAGAACGTATTCCGTTTATGCGCAGGAATTCATTCAATCCGGGTGAGAAATTCTGTATCAAAGATGATACTGCGAATATGGAGCTGCGTCCCAGGAAGTCATCACCATCATTCATGGTTGAGGTAAGTACTGGTATTAAATGTTCGTTATAAAAATATTTTTGGCAGAATTCATTGTTTTGTGACATTTCGGCCACAATACAAATGGCATTTGGTCGTAGATTATAATCGGGTATTTTGATCAATTGCAATATTATGGAAATGCCTCCGACTTTCACCAACGAATTGGCATGATCAATATCGTCAATCTTATCGCGAATTACATTCAAACTATCCAGCTTTTGTTGGATATTCGTCGATTCACTTTTCAAAATTAACAAAGCGTCTTGCAAACTACTGTCGGCATTTATTGATTGTAGAGCACCTTGTAGGAAATCATTTCTCTGAAAGAGATAGAAAAACAAATATAAATATAGACAAGAGAATAGTAATTAAAGCAGATTAGATAAAATTGCAGAACTGATTAGAGATATGATTTAGTGGCATTTAGGTGAGTAATAGGCCCAAGGATAAGTGCAATAAAATTTTCTAGAAGTTATTCACATTTTCTTTACATTTCGTAATCAGGAGTTTTTTTCTTATAATTACCTTGGCATCCGTTTCACAAGAGATTGTGGTTGATCCCTCGTCATTTTTTCCAGTGTTTTCCACAGCTAACCTTAGTAATGCCTGCATTCATAAAAAATTATTAGCAAAACCCTTAAACAACATTAACAATAATCCTTCCTTGCCTCTAAATTTTGTTTGCGTTGTGAGGAGGAACTTTTTGTGTCCATTTTAGCACTGATTTATTGATTTATAGATTTGGAATAATAATTGTTTATATTTGATGGAATGAAATCATAATATAAACATGTGCAGTGGTGTGTTTACAAGAGGTGAAAGTCCATCGATGGCACTTCGATACTATCGCGTCTTATGACTCTTATCGATAGACATAAAATAAAGTTTTATTAAAAAGAGAAGCATTTAAATAAAAAGAAATAGACATTTTAATTTTTGAAATTTAGAAATTTTAAATTGCGTAAATTGAAGTCCTACACATTAATAACCAGTTATACCAAAGCCAAATAAAATTTACATATTTTTAATTCAGCGTTCCAAAATCGTTTGATTCGTAAGCAGTATTTTTTTTTCGATTAATTTACTACAAAGCAAGAAAGACATCTTTAGTATTATCGGACACAGATGTTATGTTTTTTCGAGTGTTATAAGTCTACAAAATTGAATTCAGTGTTTGTTATGATACCGGAACGCCCGCATTATCAACATAAGAACTTTGGATATAGTGCTCGTTAAGTTGAGAGAGCACGATAATGTTAAGGGATCTGATTACGTGGGTATTAAATACTTATCTCGGCAAGTATTTGGAGAATTTGAACTCTGCTCAACTGTCTGTTGCGCTCTTATCAGGTATACAATTGCACAAGTCCAAACACACTTACGACATAAACATAACGAGAAATTTAATGAATTTTAGGCGAAGTCGAGCTCGAAAACATTCCGATTAGAAAGGATGCATTGCGTTCACTTGGCCTGCCAATTGAGGTGTCATCAGGCAGCATTGGCAAGATTAAGCTGCAGGTACCGGTTCGACAATTTCGAACATCACCATGGTGTATTTCGGTGGATGGGTTGTTTTGCGTTGTCCGTCCCAAGGACTTTGAGAATTGGGATGAGGCGAAGGAGAAACTGCTGGATTTGGAATACAAGCAATCTGTTCTGGACACCGCAGAGGCCAATTGGCGTTCGGAGAAGGGCAAGCAAATCGAATCGTATTATTTCTCATCGTATAATAACTGGCTGAAGTATGGAACGAATATGGCAACTAATATCATTGATAACATTGAGCTTAAAATATTCGATGTACACTTTCGATACGAGGATATCGTCGATGTGGGCAATAGCAAAATAGCGACTGGCATTAAAATTGGCTCATTGACTGCACAAAGCTGTGATTCTAACTGGTCAACTGGTTCAAATAAAACGATCAATAATGATACTAATTTCAAAATCGTTGAATTGAAAGAGTTGTCTTTGTACTGGGACACATTATATGATGATATTCAATGCCAGAAGTTCACCAACCAAGAGCTGCTCACGAATATGAATGCGACGTGTCAGAAGCGAGCACATGAATTTATAATTAAGCCCATCAGTGCAACAGGTCGATGGAAACGTGAGAAATCTCCACAAGTAATACGTTCAAAAGACAAGCCACGAGTTTCCTGCGATCTTCTGGTACCTGAAGTTATAATTGTCCTATCCAAGGTAAGTTTGTACTAAAGAATATCTCTCAATTTGAGCATTATTAAACTGAGCTAATTTAATTTGTTATGATTGCAGGCTCAACATGACCAAATACAGGATAGAATCGCTGGCATTCAACAGATTAAGGAGATATGTCAATTTCGATTGAAACGACCAACTTTCAGTATTAAGGATAATTCAAAAATGTGGTGGCAATATGTGCTCGCTTGTCATGGTCGCGATCTAAAAACGAGAGACGAAAAATTTCTAACACTTAATGAAAACCTGCGATATATGCGAATTTATCAGGCAGTCATTTTAAATCCCAACGAAAATTTAAGTACCGATGACAAAGAATTTAAATCGTACATTGAAAGTGATAGGAAAGTTGCAGAATTAATAATTTTACGCAGAATATGCTTTGAAAAAGTATTCACCAAGGGACTTTCCATCAAGTCGGACAACGTAAGGAAAGGAAGAAATATGCTATTCCATTGGTTCCCAAACTGGATGGGTTGGTACGGTACGACGAATTCTGCAGGCCCTGCAGAGCAAGATGAATCCTTACAAAATCTCGAAGACGATATTTTAGTGGCGATTGAGCACTCATTGCAAAATCAGTCGCAGTTGAAGAACGACTCGATTTTTGGACATTTCACTATTGAGCTTATTAAAGGCTTTGTTATTCTGCAAGCCGAACAATCCCCTATAAGTCAAGATTGTGTTTGTGTAGAAATGCAGTTTAATAATCTGTCATCTTTTCTGCAAGTAAATCCTATGCTAACATCCTATGTGGCTGGGATATCTTTGGGTGAAGTATATCTCTTGGACAAAACTAACAAAGATACAAAACATTGCTATTTAATAAAACCACAAACTGACAGATCACCGTCAATAAACCAATCGGATCTGAAAAATGCATTAAGCTTACCAAATAAACAGGATCCATTATTCCTGCTGCAATATGAAAATGATGATCAATCACAATACCGACTTACAATCAAATCGAAAAGCTTGGACTTAATATATAATCAGGACGCCGTTGACTGGTTCTTAAATTTTTTTACCAAATCTAAACATGTGCGCTTAATAAAAGACAATAATAGTGTTGAAAAAGAAAAGAAATTTCTAAGTTCTTTTAATCAGCATTTCGTCGGAAATGAGGTAAGTAAAAGCATATTAATTAAATATTGGCATATTTAATTGTTGTCCAAATAATTTCTACACAGATAAATCGCAAAAATTGGACTTTTGAAATTGAGGTGTTTGCACCTCGGATTATATTTTTGGAAAACTGCAAGATAAGCAATTCCTTAATGGTTCTAATGGATTTTGGAAAATTTCAACTGATTAAATCTGATTTCACAAAGAGAAACACTGCGATTGTCTCAAAACCAGCGGAAACTTCAACCAAAGATGTCAATGCAGATGATGATGATGATGATGAGAATTTTATGACTCCATGCTCTACTCCACCGGGATCACAGAAAAGTGGTTCAGATTCTCCGACGATTCGTGAAATCTTGCATAGCGATATGATAAATAAAAACAACCAACTGGAGTCTGCATTGCATAATAAAATTTATAATACATACACGATAAATTTAACGAATTTACAAGTCTTAGTTTGCAAATACCAAGAGAGATGGCAAGCTAGCTTGAAGACTTCTTCGAATTTTCACATAATTGATAAGTTCAATATCACTCTGACAATCGAGCAACGTATCGTGTTCACATCGGATCCCGAATATCCATCATTTACACTCTTTGGTACGTGTCCGATGATATTGATTCATGGCAATGAAGATAAAATTCAACATTTCTTAAACATCATCTATCCGATAACGAACAACCCACGACTTAAGAAAGAAACAACAATACGTGAAACTGAGAAAAAATCGTATACCGATGAGACTAACAATAATCCCTATTATAATGTTGATGGAACTCATTTAGTTGTCCAGTTTGCGATAGGACAACTGATTGTCGAATTGCAATCCAAGGAAAAAAGTATTGCCGAACTGCAAATTATTGGAGCACGAGCTGGTTTAGTCATGGCAGGAAATGAAACAACAATCACAATGTCTGTCCATGGATTGCTACTTGTGGATGCTATTCAGTCTTTTGGTCCCGACTTTGAACTCTTGGTGGCCAGCCATCGAAATGTTGGGTGAGTATCTAAACGACTTAATACATCTATAATATCAATGCAAATCAAGTAAATGTTTCTGCTTTTCAGTATGGATAGCTTTTCTGGAAGTCTAAAGCATAGTACAGCTTGTTCACCGGTTACGCCCGGCTCTCCAGACTCATTTGATTATCACAGACCGACAAGTCCGCATATTATCACAAAAGCAGTTCAAAATATTCAAAGCGGTATAGAAATTTAATTAAAAATGTTCGATAAATATTTATTCCAGCAAATGTGGTTATGGAGCGATCTTTCTTTATTCTGTTGCAATTTTTATTGTATATATTATATTTTCAGGAGCATCGATGGATCGCACTGAAGAGTCAGAGTTAAATGCCCTCATTAACATAGATATTAATATTATTGCATCCGATACGAATAAGTCTTCCTATTTGCACACTTCGAGAATTTCATTCAACACCTTGGAAATAATTGGTATGTATTGTTTTCTTTACTAAAATTAAATTAAAATATATTTTTATATTTTATATAATTTTGACTCTAATCTTTTAGCCAACCAGGAGACTATACTTGAGCTGTTAAATTTAGCTGAACGCATTTTTCGACGCCAACAGCTTTTGGAAAACGTTAGCAGCAAGACAGCCAAAGAGCCTGCGTTTGAATTAAAAGAATCCGATGGTGCCGTTAATCATAATCAACACGAAATAATATTTGATTTTTATCGTTTAAATGTTTTGATTTTATACACGATAAAACGAGATAAAATTGAGATTGCCCGAAAGGTTGGGACGCTCACAGTAAGCGAAGCCAAAATAAATGTATCAGTGCAATCCAGTTTGTTCATAACTGGATCCCTGGGAGGCATACAAATCATCGATATAACTCCTCAAGGGATTCGTTATCAACGAATTTTATCAATTGGAAGAGATCCAGTTTCAGAATCGGACCGTCTATCGGTGATTAATCAACTCTCGAACGAAATATATTTGAACAATGCCGAAGACGAGAAGTGTGATCAAATTGATGCATTAAGCTTTACAAATTTATGGAGTGATAATAACGCAGTCGCTCTTCAAGTGCGAATGGCGTCAGTTTCCTACACCCATAGCCCGAGATTTTTGCAAGACTTTAATTATTGCATTATGAACTTCAAACAGGGCCTGAGGTAAGTTATTAATTGCTGTTAAATCCTTTTATCATTCAATTATTTTTGTACATTTGTATGTTCAGCGAGTTCTTGACTTCAATTGGAAACAAGGCAACCGATATGGCTAAAGAATTTGTGCAGCAAATAAAAGATGTTAATTATCAAACCAAACCACCAAAACCAAACATACGCCAGGAAAACACCTCAATCTCGTAAGTAACATTCTAATCTAAAAACTGTAGATTTTTAGCCATCTTTTTTGTTTGTCTTTTCAGGCTTGATATTATTATAAGTAGTCCGATAATCGTTCTTCCTATTTCGACTGTTAGCAATGAAGTATTTATTGCAAATTTGGGTAAAATTAGTGTCCGAAATAATGATATTAATCAAAAGTTGGAGAATGTTAAGACGGATGACACAGAGTATTATGTGATAGAAGTGAAAAATATCAATTTATTTTCGTTGAACATTGACGAGCAAACCGAAGATTGGAAATACACGCTGCCCATAGCGAACAAAATGTATGAAAATAAACAAGATGCACATCCAATATTACATGACACAGCAATATCCCTAAATGTGTATACAGGATATAACGATGCAAGGGATGCAGAGAGGCAAATTCAAACAATATTGGTGAGTGTATTTAAGAGTGTACTTTTTGAATTATAGTAAACAAATTGTTACTTATTATCCAGGTTGAAGGAAGTATGGTTGAAACACTTAAGATCACACTCCATCGCAAACAATATAAAAATATATTAGAGTCTATCCGAAATGCAACCAACTTTTCAAATAACTTATCCTCGGAGAATGTGATACCCAACATGAAAAGTGCAAATATTACAAATGCCAATGCAAATGACGTGCAGCGTATTAAAACAACTGTTAAATTCTCAGTGCCTGTTTTTGAAATTAACTTGCAAAATGAGAGCCATGAACCACTCGTAAATGTAACATTTAAAGACTTTTTTGTAAAACATCGCATAAGCGGCAACGATGTAGATCTTAAGGTCGTTTTAAACTCGGTGCTTATGGAGGATTTAAAGTCGGATATATCATCACCATTTCGAAATATGGTCACATCTTTAAACCTGGAAAAAATGTACCAGCGTAGAGGACAAAGTTCCTCATCATGCCCAGATTTACCAAGTTTTCGTAGTAAGCAGAAGACATTTTCAACATCCATATCTAATCTTTGTGAGCACATAAAACTAAAGGATTGTGAACAGCATAAAAGTGGTCTATGTCATTCAAATGATATTAGCGATCGGAAAGGCAACAATTTAGTTATTTACAGATCACACACTAGGCGTTTACCCCTTCAGCCTTCTGATGGCAAGATTGAGATTCAAAACTCCATCGAGTTTAATTGCCTGAACTTGGCGATATGTGTGGACAGATGGTATACGATATTTGACTTTTTTGACCTAGTAGCTGACACAGAAAATGCTCAATCCTCTGCTGCAAGGAACGATAGTCTCCCAAAAAGTTAGTATAAAAACTTTAACTTGCTGAGTTCGCTTTTATTAAAATTAATGCATTTTTTTTGTAGGTGCTTATGAATTTTGTAGTAAACTGAATGTTTCCATCAGATCGTTAAATTTCACCCCGATTCGAAATGATGCAGTCCTATCAAGAATAAACGTATCCAATGCAACATTTTCTATAATTCAAGAAGCTGCCTTTAAATCAATTGAAGGTTGCCTGGGATCAATAGCTGTATACGATCTAACCAAATTCGGATACATATACAAGGAAAGGTTCTTAACGAGTGGCACAGAGGCATTAAATTTTGTATATAAAAGGTATAGATAAATACTCAAAATTCATTTGAAATACTTATACATATATATTTTTTAATTTACAGAAAACATACAGATATGGAAACACCGAATATTATTAATGCTGATGCAGTTCTTTGGATTAACATGTCTTCGGTTCACTATATACACACAAAGCGTTTTATTGTCGAACTTCATTTGTTCGTGAAAGAGTTGCTACAATTGCAAACGGTAATGCATATGTCCACTATAATATATTTAACATTTAGCAATAATTAATTATTATTCCTATTTGCAGCCGGTGATTAGAAAACTGAAAAAGCATAAAACGGATAAGGATCAAATGCAGTCGTCTAAAATCAAGCTGTGCATTCAAGCCGCCTCACCAGTTATTGTTCTACCCGCCTGTTACAATAGCAATCATGTTTTGATTGCCTATCTGGGACAATTCACACTGAAGAATAGCTTTCATCTTGCCAGCGATGAGTGCATTATAAGCAAAAAAGGAAAGGCGGTTAAGAGCGAAGAAGAGATTTTGGACGTTATGCACATTGATTTGGTCAACATCAATTTGTTCTCGGGCGAACGTAGTGTGGATACATTGGAGGGCAATTACGATGAAGAAACCTATATAAACATCGCAAATACGTGCTTCGTCAAGGGCAGCAGGCTTTTCAAGGAATCCTGCTATCTGGATCTTCAAGTGGAACGCAATCTAACCACAGATAGCATACGCGTTTGTCCGGACATTAGTGTTAAAGGGAAATTCTCAAAATTGAACGCTACACTCAGTCTACAAAACTATAAATTGATTAGAGGGCTGCTAAATAATAACATTGGAGAGTATATCGATGATGTTTACTCCAACAGCTTGAATATTGCTGGCCCATCTATCGAAGCATTCTCGGCTTTAAGTTTATTTTCAAAGACTGAAGACACCACAAATGTGATTACCTTGCTGTCGATAAATATACTTCTGGAAGACGTTTCGATATTGGTAGTTGAAAGCACGAATACGTTGCCAGACTTTGCTCAAGAGCCCTTGGCATGCATACATTTTATAAGATCGCAATTGGAAATCGACATGCTAAGCGATGGTTCACAAGACATTGATCTGATATCAAGCAACATTTTAGTTGTGGATGAGAGGCCAAGCGATGGTGTTAACAATGCCAATGTTTTTAGGAACATACTGGAGCCCTCGAAAAAGGAAACGGTTCCAAAGCATTCAGCTCAGGTTGAAATCCACTGCAGAAAACGCTTGAATTTATGTAAATATACGGTAATGTTAAACAACATGAGAGTAATGGGAATTCTAGATTTCTTGGACCGTTTAAAGCAGTTTTTTGAGGAAGAGCCCCTAACAGCATCATCATCAATTAATCCAAAATCAACTCAATTTGTACCAGCGGATCAATCGCAACCGACAGATGGTTCCTTGTCAGAGTATATTATCAATGTGACAGACTCGGAAATGATATTTGTAGAACAGTGTAAACGACTGGATTCGAATGCGATAATATTGAAGAGCACAACCGTAATTTCATACAAGCCAAATAATAATTGTGTGCCATTGTCTATAAATATCAATCATTTGGAAATATTTTCATGCATATTGGATGCTGAGGATGAAAGTGCACTGTCCATAATCGATCCATTTACCTTGAACATTGAGATGAGAAATAATTGCCTGAATATTGTGATACAAAAGCAATTGAATATACGTTTATCGTACATCGATATGAAATTGTTTTTGAGAATGATTAGCTCCATACCGACACAAACTTCAACACCGCCGCCAGTTTTATCCAAATCGAATTCGGAATTTGAAAAAATCGCTCCACTGCTTGCAATGGGTTTCGAGATAACAAATTGCTGGTATGCCATGGAACAGAACAATTGGAAACTTAACGATGCTGCACTGTGGCTGTCGCAACAGAAGCGCACCACCACTCGAAATCCGGGATTGGAATTAAAGACAGCTGTACTGGATGCCAATTGCATATCCATGTGTGTCATCGATGATTGCATGGATGCTGATGTGCCCCTGCTCGAAATATCCTTGTCGAAGGTACTGCTCAAGTACAAATTTCAACCCAACACAATTGAAGCTGAAGGCGGCCTCAATGCGAACAATTCGGCTGAGGGGGATCTCGACACGGAAGTGGCACTCAACTATTATAATCGGCGATTGAGTGGCTGGGAGCCGCTTGCTGAAATTTGGCAGTGTGCGGCAAAATGGAAATACAAAAAGACCAATTTTGATAAAAAGAAACGCTTCGAAATTTTCGTGAGCAGCAAACATTTATTCAAGATTAACATTACCTCGACGCTAATTGAACTGTACCACATGGTGTCCAAGAATTGGGCAAGCGATTTCAATTCCCTTGACAATGCCAGAAATTCGAATTTCAGACAACGATCCCCATTCGTGCCGTTTGCACTACAAAATTTAACGGGATCGGCGCTACTCTTTAAACCCATATACGCTCAGCTTGGGGATTTGACATGCTCCGATTTGCATCAGTTGGAAATAATTAAGAACTGGATAACGCTGCAGCCGGAAGAGATAAAAACGTTTGATTTCAGTCAAAAGAGTAAGCTGAGGCACATTGACTCGCATCTGTTGAATTTGCATCAGATTCTTGTACAAATCCATGGCTGGACCTTGATTGGACCAATCTCCATAGACAAGGTAGGCACATATTTTCGATCAACAATCTTGGATTCGCATTACGAGAAGAAGACGCGCATTATATTTGATATATCCCTAATGGGATCCGCACAAAAGCTCATTAAAGTAATGTCACCATTGAGGGTTATTAACAAATTAGATCACGATATATTTCTCAAGATGGTAATAAATAAATCGAATCAATCTGATGCTCAGTCTGCAATAAGCACAATCCGTCCGGATGATCAACAGTGTGTGCCATTAAAGTTTCTCGACTCCTCGCTATATATCTCTCATATTCCATGCGATTCGAAAAAATCAAAGATTGACGATATCGGCTTTAGCAATGATGAGATTTCATGGAAAAATTGGGGAAAGGACGGCACTCAATATCTGTACACCTGCTACGATGCCAATAGAAGCATATTATATACACTAATTAGCATAAGCCGGGAGCTGTATCCGCTCAAGGATCAAAATATGCCGGGCCACTCAATTACGCTGCTATCGCCGCTAATGCTAAAGAATATGCTTTGCTGTGATCTAATATTTAATATCAATGGCTGCAGTATGGATCGAATTAATGCCTTCATGAGCAAAAATATATACAATATTAACATATGCGAAGCCATTAACTTGAGCATTACCTTGGATAACTTTGAAGTCTCCGGCCAATTGAAAGTGCCAGCAAATCATACTGGCATTGTCGAGCCAAAGCTAAAGCTAATCGATGCCAAGAATAGGGAATTACATCTGCACATATCAATTCAATATTTTAAAGGCAAAGGAATGGAGATCTATATTAGTGCACCCATATGGATTGTGAATAAAACAGGTCTGCCACTCATTTATAGGCAGGAGGGAACGAACAAAATTGCAGCCGGCCAATTTGATGAGCATGAAACTGCCCGACAAGTGTCGCCCCTAATGTTCTCATATTCTGATCAGGAGGGCTCACCCAACTTGGAAGTGCGACTCGGCAGCTCCTTTGGCTCTAACAATCAGGTAAGTCTTACCAAACTCTTCTAGTTTCATAGACAATTCTCATATTTGTTTTTTAATTTTCAGTGGTGCAAAAGTTTCAGCATGATCAAGAATATTACATACAGGGATTTGCGTACGGAAAATGGTCCGGGTTGCTATACAATTGGTATACGGGTTCGTCGCGGGCGAGGATTATATGCGTGCACCACATTTGTTACATTGTCACCACGTTTCCATCTCTACAACAAAAGCGGGCATCCGCTGCAGTTTTCACAGAAATGTAATATTATACATAATGTAAGTATGTCACATGAATGCCTATTTAATCAGTATAAAATTTAATATATGTTTTCCATACATATTTTTTAGGAAGTTGCCAATTCGCGTAATGTTATTTCGGCGCCAATTGATTGTAATTTTCCATTTCATTGGACAAATGGAGATCAAGAGCCGTTGATTTGTGTTCGCATCGCAGATGTGGAATGCTGTTGCTGGTCGAAAGGCATACCCGTCAATGAGGCGAAGAGTTTGTACATTAACATTCGCAATGAGTGGAGCGAAATGTTTTTCCTAAGATTGGAAATAATATCGAGAGGTGCGACGTTAATTCTTCTATTCACCGATGCTCGTAGTTTACCACCGCCAATTCGTATTGATAACTTTTCGGAAGTGGCCATTAACTTTTCACAAAAGGGCTGTAAGCACATTTGGCCAACGCCAGTTAGATCGCAGTCATCGTTGTCATATGTTATGGATGATCCCTTGGGTGTACAAACATTGATCATGGAAGCGCCAGGAGGAAACACAATTGAGTATCCAATAAAGGAATTGAACACAAGCAAAACTTTAACGTACTCAAATTTTATATACATTGCATTTCACGACACCTTTGATCAATTCAAAAGAGATGGTAACAAACCAGATGAAAAATATCAGCAACTAGTGCTGGGTGTCAACGACAAGAGAGTCGTCATCATGGAAAAGAATTCGGGAGATCGCTCACAGCTATGGCTAATGAATTCGAACGGTCAGTTGGAACACGAAGGATCAACACCACCGATAGAATCAAATGAAGCCAACGCTGTGCGATGGGTACTAGATTTGGAGAAACCACCAAATCCAACTGAATATACAGCGCTAGTAGTTCGAATGCCCAATAAACAGAGGGCAACAACACAAAAATGGAGATTTGAGAACGGTCGACTAAAGTGTCATGCGAATATGTGCGTTCAGGTAAGAAATTGCTTTACGAATACTTAGTGAGTACAGTGAAATTAATTCAGTCTCCTTTTCAACAGGCTTCTTCTGGAAAAGAATGGTTTAGAGCTGGCTCTGAGGCAGTTGTGGGATATCTTAAACATAGCTCGAAGGGTAGGGATATAATACCCATCGAACAACATATTGTTACTCAAAAATTAAGACCTGGATCGGGGCAATTAGAAATATCAACCAAAATGGATGGACCGATTTGCACTGTTCAAATTCGTGATATTAAACAAACGTTCAATGAGACATTTTTGGCACCGGATTTACTATGGAGCTCTGCATCTTTCAACAACAGACAACTTATTGATAAAGCGAAACAAGCACCATCAACTGAATATCAAGTAAATTTTATTTCGATTCATACTGCACTCATATATGCAGTCACAATTTGTATTTTAAATTAACATTCAAATCCCACTATCTCATCGTTGTCTTAAATTATTATATTTTTAATTACAGATAAATGTCGATCTGCCCAAGGGAATTGGAGTATCTTTGATAACACTGAAACCTTGCGAGGAGATTATATTTGTTAGCTTGGACAACATAATTGCAGAGTTTTCAGAGAGTAGTGTGGAAAAGTCAATAGATCTGAATATAGCTTACATTCAAGTGGATAATCAATTATTGGATTCCGTCAGTCAAGTGACCTTGCATAGTAGTACACCAAGTGACGATGAATCACAGCAGAAAGCGTTGCTCCTCAAATTGAAAATGTTACCTAGTCCAAATAAGAACGCATTAATATTCAAATACCTGACTCTGGATGTGAGCCCCTGTATTATGAATCTGGAAGAGAAGCTTATATTAAAAATAGCATCGTTTCTTGGCTATGGCAAAGAAAATCGACAGAACTCATTCCTGCCCTGTGATTATAAGGATTTTGAAGACAAACGGTTAGAGAATAACATGAAAAGATATTATTTTGAGAAATTTAGTATCGGTTCGACGCAGGTAAATATGTACAAAACTATTCTTTAAATACGTCTACTATACATATAATATATAACAGGTTCGATTATCAGCGTTCACTTCGTCAAAGCTGCCGGTCGAGTTACAAAGTGTGAAAAAGTCCCTGGGACTCACATTAGTCAAATTTGAAGATGCTTTGATAGAGCTTGATCATTATACCCATAAATATCATTTTGAGACCTTAGATGTTTATCTGCAAGCTATAAAAATGCATTACATAGCCCAAATTAAGTGGCACGCAGCTTCCATATTGGGCAGTGTTGATTTCCTGGGCAATCCTTTGGGATTCGCCAATGATCTATCTGAAGGCGTATCGGGACTCATTTTTGAAGGATCTGTGAAAAGTCTAGTAAAAAATGTTACTCATGGAATTTCGAATTCGACAGCAAAGTTAACGGAAACATTGTCAGATAGTTTGGGCAAAGTCGTCTTGGATGATCATGATAACGATACAAGACAACGCATTATGGAGCTACAATCAAACACATCCAGTGGTCATCTGGCTGCGGGAATCAAAGGCTTTGGATTCGGTTTGCTTGGTGGAGTCACAAGTATTGTCCGGCACACATACGATGGCGCCCATGCCGACGGCGTTCATGGCTTCCTCAGTGGCCTGGGCAAAGGATTGGTTGGCACAGTGACAAAACCAATTATCGGCATGCTCGACTTGGCCTCAGAGACGGCAAGTGCTGTTCGTGAGACCAGCAGGGACACACAACGTCAATCACCAAGCCGCAAACGTTTACCCAGATGTGTAACTGGTGCAGTTGGTGGACTCTTGCCTTCGTATTCAAGTCGTCAGAGTATGGGTCAACAGTACCTGTATCTAATAAATCGTAAGAATTTCACTGAAAAAATAATATTCCATGAGCCAAACCTTTGGAGCGATAAAGAGGCAAGATTGCGACTTCTTGTTTCAACCGAATATGTTCGTATATTCTCATTATATGAGGGAACCCCAACTATGACGTTTCAATGTCACCTAAGTGAAGTTCTATCCTGTCATCCATTGACAAAAAATACGGGGACTACCCCATCGACAAGTAAAGTTACATCGAGCTACTACATTGAAATATCAACAAATTTAACAAAAATCACACGACCGCAAATTCGGTGTCGGACTGAGGAATGTGCTGAGGCTGTGTCTAGATGTGTAAGTAAACCGATTTGTTAACTATTTATTATGTTTTACTTGCTGCATAACTTCATTAATATTGATATATATATGAATATATATATCTCTGTTTTTCTCTGCAGATAAACTACGCTAAAAGTGTCTTCGATGAACGTGAGCTGTCGTTAATAAAATATAATTGATGCTATTAGCAATAAATATTTTTTAATATATATAATTATATATTAAAGTGGTTGTTGAATTCTAAATATTAATGTATTATCAATAAGCGCTTAATTCTAAAGTCACAACTTTGTTACCAAGTTTGTTTAAAAGTCCCTTCCCATCAATATAGACTGATGTAAAACCAGAACAGAAGTTAAAAAGCGTATATTCCTCTCAAGAACCAATTAAAAACGTTAATTCCCATTTACATGAATCAAATAAATTTTCCATTGTTTTTTAAATATTTTTTTATTTGAATATGGTTAATTAAATTAACCCAATACATGTTAAACAATTTTGTACATATCGAGCCCTAACCGTGAACATTTTTCCCAAAATTGACTTTGCAAAAATACTGCGATTTAGTTAAGTAAAAGTTAAAATATTTAACGATATATAATATACTATATTGTATATGCTATAAGCTCTTACATTTTTTTTTTGGCGGTTAGAGCTCCATATGTAAATTTAAAAAAGCGCTAAGGCAACAAATGCTTTAAATCGTTACTTATATTTGGTTGTTTATTAAAAAGCCGTTCCTATATTTTGTAGAGATAACAAATTATAAAACTTGATCTATTTATTACATTATGCTTGAGTCCACTTAAGTCAGTTCTCTCAATACTCGGTTAACATATATTGTAAAGATATTTAAAGGATTTTTTGTTTTAGAACATAAACAGCTTTATTTTAAAAAGAATATGATCAAAGATTTTACTCCGTCATTGAGAAAATTGACCCAATTAATATTAAGGAATGAATAAATAATGTTAATGTTTGAGTTAGCTTATGTATAAGGAGCACACAAAGACCAGACGACAACGAATGTGCTTTAGGGTTTAATGGTTTTCTGAAAAATAAAATAAAATGATATATTAGCACGTTTCATTTGAATGTATCAATACAATAGAAATATATGTGCTTTCTGTAAATATATACAAATATTGTTTGTAATTTACCTCGTCCGAAAAATCCATATCATCTTTCATCTGTTTTGACCGGCGCTTCTCGGTCGATGTTAGAAGTTGTGCAACTTTTGTTTGTTTAGCTAAATCGTAGGCCTCTTTTTTACTGCGCATTGCACAGTCTTCAAGAGTTTCGGCAGCTTCAAACATGCCCTGTCGCCTATATAGTGCGCCCAGGTTCTTCAATGTTGTTGTAACTGTAGGCGAATCAACCTTAGCAGCCTTGTGCCATCCACCGTACTCTCCATATGGTGTATTTTCACGGTTATCGTACTTGTGCTCCTCGCGCTCCTCAGCCACCTAAAACACATAAAATATGATTCATTAATATTGGATTAAAATATATTTCGATTGCAATTTCATTTAAATATATATTCAAACAATATATAGTATTTTGCATATATACATTATTTGTACATTTTATTTATTGTTAATGAATGATAAACAGCATAAATGATAAATGTAATTAACCAAAATACCGACGACAATAGGCACCGCTTATTGTATTTAATCAAACATGATCAAGCCCGTTATTAAACACTTTGATATTACCTGCCAAATGGGTTTATTTTTGCTATCAATTGCTCCAAATTCACGCTCATGGGCTCTTGTCAAAACCTGTTTGTAGAGGATTTCAGCTTCTGAATACCTGCCCTGCTTCAAATAGCAACCGGCCAAATTATTTTTCGTCTTGGCCACATTGGGATCATCGGGTCCAAGTTTCGATTCGTAAATGTCGAGTGCACGTTGGTAATATTTCTCAACTTCATCATATTTGTCTTGGTTTTGGCAAAGCAAAGCCAAGTTGTTCAGTTGTTTTGCAACATCTGGATGATCTTTGCCAAGAACCTTTTCACGTATCTCTAAAGCACGCTTGCACAGTGGTTCGGCATCCTTGTATTTGCCACGTTTGCCATAAAGAACCGCTAAATTGTTCAAAGTAGCAGCAACGGCCGGATGATTTTCTCCAAGTGTCTTTCCTCGAATTGACAAAGCATCGTTCAACAAATTTGCAGCCTCCTTGTATTTATTCTGTATTTTAAATAGAATTGGAATTATTATTTTGTTATTTTAATAATATATATTGCAACTAACTTGATCGCGATAAACCAGTGCCAAAATGTTTAACATGGTAGCAACGTCTGGATGATCGTGACCACTAGTCTTTTCAAGATCTTCAAGGGCTTGCTTGCAAAGCGGAACGGCAACTTCATATCTGAAAAGTCCATATTCGTTTTAGATATAAAATTGATGTATTTCAAGAGCAGTGTTTAGATATCTTTAAGTTAAATTCTTGTATAGTTGTACGAAAATACAAACCTGCCCTGTGATGCATATTGAATAACAAGATTGTGAAGTGTTCGCAATCGAGCTGGAATTTCATAGCCTGATGTTTGATTAGCAAACTGGCTGGGAGGCGTCGGCGACATATTGTGTCTGTCCTCATTGTCTTCATCTGGAAATAGCTCAACCACTGGATCATGTCGGGCCTTTTCCGAGGTTTCATCTTGCTCCTGATTGTCATCATACTTTCGAACGGACGCCATAAATTCAAGATGTTTTTTCTCCTCCTCCAGCTGTGCGACCAACTGTTCCGATGCTTGGAACTTCTGTTGTGTATTAGCAAGTTCATCTCGTAGCCAAGCATTCTCCTGGTGAAGACGGCGCACTTGTGTCTTGAGCTTCTGCTTCTCAGCCTCGATATTTTGCAAGTGTGATGTAAGTGCCATCATCACTTGGGCCTCACTCAGGCCAAGCTCAATATTTTCAATATTCTTTCGCAATATATCCGATTTTTCATTGTCCTTCTGAACCTCAGATATACCGTTTATGATGGAAACATGTTCAACGCGCAAAGCTTCCAAGCCCTGCAACACAGTTTTTGTATTGCTTATTATTTCGTCTTGCGACATTTGCGTCATTTTGCCGATTTGCTCTATTTTCTGTCTGTAAGAGAAAAAGTTACATGTTTAGTTCATTCTGCGCCGAAGACACATATATTTTTCGCATATTTTACACCCATTTTAGGGGGACACAAAAAAAATCCATTGAAAAAAATGAAGTCGGAATTACTCATACTTCCCCAACTCAAACAAATAAGATAAAACGCAGTTTTAAGTATAAAATTATAAAGACGATGGTGTAAATACGAACAAATACATGAATATTCTATTTCTTACATCCTGTAGTTTTTTATAGCTTTAGAAACAATCATTTTCACAAAACGCGTGCGGTTTAAGAAATACTTTTACACAAATCAATAATCCAAAAATTGCGCATGCGCAGGTCGTGCGGAAGTCGATGCGGATTTGAATACCTATTCCTATTACATATTTATCGTACTCAATACGAATAACTATTTGTAATCGATTATCAATACTTTTTTTTTTCAATTCAGAGAATGTTATTCTCCTTTCAATGAATTTATATCGATATTATTGAAAACACCAAAGTAGCATCACAATTTACAGCTGATATTTTTGCACAGGGTAAGCGCAATTTGCTTAAAACAATAAATAAAGCACTTGGGTTAAAGTATGACATTTTAATGATTAGAGATGAGTCACTTTTTGACAATGAGATCCATTTCTGGAAACACTGCTCTGCGGGTTACATTTACATTTTAAGCGAATGCTATTTGCTGCCTAAGAAATTGATTTACAAATTATAAAATCTTTAATACCACTTGTAGCTTTTGTTTACATCGCTCCCCATTTTTCGTGTACGTCAAATGCAAACTATTTGTAAGCAAAAATGCAAAACAAACCAAACAGCTGTTTTACGCCGGAGTCGGCGTCTATTTGTCTTTACTGTGCTAAAAAAAAAAAATAGTTGCTGATTGCTAATGAAATCATCATAAAGAGAGAATGTTAAACCACTGTGCAGGTTCACTAACCTATACATATATATACATTTTTTGTTACAATCTCTAATTGGCTCTGATATCGTCGGAAAATTGTGCATCGGCAGATTTACTAGTGTTGAACATGAAAATGTGTATGTGCATATTTAATATGGGGCCAACTAAATTGTGTTTTCTTGAGCAAGTTTGTACAATGATGAGTTAAAACACAAATACACTCATAGATATTTATTTATGTTCGAAAATAGTCACATAAATAATTTCACTACTCACTAAGAATATCTATTGCACAGCAAAAAAATGTTTATCTTCTGATGTCACTAACTTAGATTCGCAATAATTCTTATGTATGTAATGTAATTGCACATATACATATATATATGTATATATATAAAAGTAATAATTAAAGTACCCACTCACAAACACACACATATGTACATGTATATATATATACAAATACATGTAGCAACAGTCGAACAGTCATGCATGCAATACTTCAGTGCTCGCAGAAGAGTTAATACTCCTAAATATATGTATGTATATTTATATATACCACATATATATATGTATGTATGTGAGTAAGTGTCTGCACATAGAAGTAATAATGTTTATGACGAAATAATTATGGATACACATCGGAGGGGTGCACACATCATACACACTTATATGTACATACAAAAAATATGTAGCTGCTTCTCATACATACATGTAAGTACATTCATTTTGTCTTACAGCAAATTGACCGTCACCTTATAATTGCTTATTATTGTATATGTAACAACCATTTGATTCTACGACATTCAAGAACGAACACCCACTAATTTAAAACAAAAATAAATAAAAACTTACATGCAGAAACACAATTTATAATGATTAAAAAGATACTGATTATTTCTTATAAATTTTGTTATCGAATAAGCTTTTACCAATTCACACTTTCGGAACATGAAAATAGAACACGTTTGGTATTTTAAGGCTGGTATGCAGGTAATGGTATATCGATAGTTTGCATTTTATTAAGACTAAGGTATTATAAACAATATCGCGAAATAAAATTAAATTTCTTAATAACACAAAATGTCTAACTTTCTTTATTAACTAACGAATAGATCGAACGAAATAAAACACAATATTTATTTAATCGGAATTTTGGTACTTCTAGATGACTAACCGCTGTCAACCCATACATAGATTTTTCCGGCTTAATATTCGGAAAAACTACACGCATCGCTTAAGAAAAAATCATACATGTATTTCATAAATGAATATATATATATATATTTTTTGGAATGACTCATTAAAAACAATTAATCACTATCATTATCGTTTAAAATTGCTGACATAGCCTCTGCTAATTCTTCCGCCTTATTTAAAATTTCATCTCTTGTTAAACTTGTATCGTTGCGTAAACTTTGCGCCGTAATAAGTAATTTTTCGAAATCATTCATCTGACTTTCCAGTTCTTCACCGTTGTTCGAATAGTTGCGCGATGAAGCTAAAAATAATATAATAAATTAATACAACAAAATAATTGAATTTTTGTATATACTTACTTGACGATGGTTTTATGTTTATGTTCGACCAAACGTAATTTGATAAGCCTTCAATAATCTCCGCATATGAAATTTTATCTGTTTCGGAAACCGTTTCTTCTGAATCCTCGTCCTCTTGTTTCAGTGCTACCACATCGAATGCTATATATGCGGTTTCCTTCACTTCTTCAAATGTGAGTTCATTTGGCTTATCCAAAAATGATGATGTTATTAAAAATCCAAGCTGAATTTCGTTAGCTATCAAAAATTCATTGATTCCCAAAAGTTCCTGGATGAATGACCTCTGAAAAAAATCATCTTGTTAGCTTATCGGACTTTTTTTTTAATTTTTCTTAACTGCATTACAATATACGTACTTTTTGTGTGTCAAAATAAACAATTAAAGCTTCAGTTGTCTTCCTGACTTCAGATGGAACTCTATCATACTTTCCGTCAAATGGTATTAAAGATATGCTGGTAGTGTAATATTTAGTCCTAATATCACATTTATAATAGTTTATATTCACAGATTCGTATGCAATGCATGTAAATTGTTTTGGTTGCATCATTTCCGTCAATATGTCTGAAAAAATAAATTGTAACAATTAAAATGAGTTGTTTTACAAATAGTGAGAATTTCTCCTCACTATAATATATCGGAATACTGCAAACTTTTTAATTACAACATTTATAACAACTAAAAGAAGTTTGCTAATCCTTTTACATATACTGCAATACTACACCACAAATCTCGGAGTTTTATTTTCTCATTTTTATATTGCAACATTGTTTGCACAAATTTTATTGCTGTACGGAAAAGAGCTAATAATTTAACGCAGTCCCTATTATGTTGTGAGCTTGCAACAATATGACTTACTTTCAACAATTTCCGTTGCGGAAAGGTTTCCATAAGAGAGAATTAATACACACGGATTCATTGTGAGGCAAATTTTAGCTTTTTATAATTTCAATTATAATAACAACGAATAAACACAGTAATTTTAGGAAGTCAATAGTTCCACGGAGCCATTTGTTCTTTAATCGAACTAGTCTCACGAATTACACAGATAAGACGATGCCGATATTTTTGGGATGGAATGAAACACAACTTTAAATTTTATTGTTCAATTCATTTAATTATTGTAATTTACAATGAACCTTTTAAATTGAGCATAATTTATATTTGCATTTTAAAAGTTATTATTTATGAGTGAAATTGTAAAAATAGACAATATAATTAATTTTTTTTAACACCATAAAGAATATAAGTGGGATAATAATAAAGATCTAAATAATTTAAAAATATGGCTCAGTAATATCGATTAAAAATATCGATAATTTTGTTAAGTTCACGAATGTTCCGTGTTGTTCCATGAACTCGATTAGGAACCAGTAAATTAAATTGTACACTTTTTGTTGGTGCGGTTAAAAATACTCCCATATTTTGACAAAAAAAAATTTGGTAGAAATGCCACCTAGCAAACTAGACAGTCTTTACCGACGAATGCTTATTACCAAATTTTTTGAAAAGGGATGGGGTACGCCAGAAAACTTACACCGGTAAGTCATGGAAACACAATATACTTATGTTGATGTTAATTAATGCCAACCATGGGAGGTTGTTCCACCTTATCCTTTACGTAATAAGCCATTCCAATAAGAATACGTCCATTGCATATTAGGGCAGTACTAGGCATACTAATCGACCCCGCGGTTTTATAAAGCGGAATATTTTACATATTTAACATCGAGGTTTTACCCACTTCAGACAATAATAAAACTTATTGCAGTATCGATAACTGTTTTTAAGATGTTTATATCGGATAGGTATCGAGTTTATATTATGGATATTCTCCTTCACAATTAAATTTTGAGAAAGTATTTTCTTATAATTTAATATTATATATTTTTAGTTTTGCTTAAGAATTACATTAAATACTGTTTATAGAGAGAAAAGATATCCCCTTCAACCTAATCTCGTATTATTTTGGGGGCAAGTAAAAAATGAATATACCTTTTTAGTATCTTAAATATCTGTGAATATCTGAGTCTTGATTTTTTTTACATTATTACCTAGAAAAATTGTTAATCAATTTACAAATCCTGACTGAAGAATTTTATAATTTTCAGCGTTTTCCAGTTTCGTAAAGTAATATCCTGTCGTGAAACATGTTTCAAACTTGTACCCCGAGACTATCCAGTGGAGATTACAAAAAAGAAGAGATATTCTGATTCAACATTAATAGAGGGCAATTTTAAAACCCCGATGGAGCTGCATATGCCTGGTGTAGTTCCTAAAGCAGCACAAAAGGCATACTTTCAAATATTGTTACCCAATAAGTGGGTCAACGAAGAACATAAACCCATCTGCATACATTTGGCAGGAACTGGAGATCATGTGAGTATACATAAGCATTTTTTAAAGTCCTTGATTCTTTTCCATTACAGGTCCACTATGATCTAGTCTAGAACCCCCAAACAGCCCATTTGATCTTAGTTATCATTTTAGTTTATCATGCAACCTGTAATAGTATATTAGTAACTTATTTTTCAGTTTTTTTGGCGTCGCAGAAATTTTATTGCAAAGCCTTTAATGAAAGATGCAAATATTGGATCTATAATACTGGAAAACCCATTTTACGGATTGCGGAAACCAGACGATCAAATGTAATTGTATTGTATATTATACATAGATTTGTGTACTGGCAGTAATGTCTTTTTAGAGCAATACAAGTGTACGTTAAAAGTCGATTGTCCACAATGTACTGAAAAAATGCCTAACCTGCTTCCATCCAAAATTCATTTTCAAATTCATTATCGTGGCATGGCTTATGTAAGAGTTGGTATAGTAGGTCACTTCAGACATTGGTACAGTATATCTTTTTGCCAAGTTTATAACATATATAACATATTTCACTGTTTCAATAGCGATTTATTTTTATATATTTTAAGACGATCGAATTTGCGTAATGTGTCAGACATATTTGTTATGGGTGGATGCCTAATACTCGAATGCCTTGTTCTTTTACATTGGTGTGAAAGAAACGGATTCGGTCCTCTCGGAGTCACTGGATTATCAATGGGCGGTCATGTACGTAGTGAAGCCATCTTGAATCTTAATACTTGTAATTTATTTCAATAATTTGTAAATTTAGATGGCATCCTTAGCAGCAACAAACTGGCCAAAGCCTTTAGTGCTAGTTCCGTGTTTGTCTTGGTCTACTGCATCGGCTGTTTTTACAACTGTAAGTATTTGATATGTATATATATATATATATAAATCCATCCATATATCATTTTCTACAGGGTGTAATGAGTCAATCAATTAATTGGGATATGCTGGAGACACAATATTATTCTGATGGCCAATATAGGGAACGTCTTTCAAAAATGGTTACTGTTATTGACGATGCCTTTGCGGCAGGTCAAAAATTTATACAAAATTTTAATGAGTCTCTGCATGAGCTTAAGGAGGATATTGATGATACACGGAAAATACAATCTACAGAGCCTGAACCCGGTGCCAATAATAACAAAATACATGACATCTCATTGGAGAATGCCGACAGTTCAATATTCTTGTCAAAACCACAAGACAACAAACTCTACCAATTAAAAGATAATCTCAGTACGAACCTTTCAAATAATTCTAATTTGCCATTATGCCAAGCAGACAGCCAAACAGAAGCATCAGCGTTGACGAGACTAATGAAATATATTTTACCATTGACGTCTGACAATAAAAATAAAAGAATCGATATAACCAAAACAAATTGGTGGGAGAGAGAAGCTCTTCAATTTATGCGAGGAATGATGGACGAGTGTACGCACTTGAAGAACTTCTCAGTACCATTTGACACCTCCCTAATAATAGCGGTTTGTGCTAGAGATGACGCTTATGTGCCGCGAGAGGGTTGTACGAGTCTTGAAGACATTTGGCCAGGAGCTGAAATTCGGTATTTAGATGCTGGCCATGTAAGCGCTTATATTTTACACCAAAAACTATTCAGGTAGAGTATTTGCCAAACAATATGGAAATTGATAACACAAGTTAATCCATTTGCAGGTCATGTATTAAGGAGGCCTTTGATAGAGCTAAAAAGATCTATGATGCTGAAAAGTATAAGAATGCATCAGCTGCTATTAAATAAATATTGTCAATAAGTATAACCTACACTTAGTTTGTTTTCTTTTATAATGCTTCAATCTAGGCCAGGATAAAAGGATCATCTAAATGGATTTAAAGATAAAACAATAGGGTAGCCCTTCAGTGAATTCTGCGCCTTATTAATCAATTAAAAATTCATATTTAACATAAACAAAATAATACGAAATTAATATATTTTAATAATAATTGTTGATAACAATATTTGGGATTATGTTTAGTACTCGGTTTTCTGGTAATGCTCCTTTCGAAACGATGACAATTTAATACGTTGACTTTGGAGTGCTTGTTCCAGTTCTAATACTTTGACTTGAATTTCCATTTCCATAGTTTTAAGTTGAGACGGTGTTAGTTTGTACAAATCGATGTCATTTTGCTGCTCCTGTCTCGAATTTCCGTCCTTCACAGTTGCAACAACAACTCCAGTTGCTTTAGTCACATTTCGCGATGCGTTTGTTAGGTTTGTCAGATTTTCGCTATTGCGATTAGCTTTCACTTTACTCGCCATTACCAGCTGAACGGTACAGGCAGAAATTTCTTGGGCAGCCACTATTAAATCAAAGTTTTGTCCAGAGTCACTGTTAACTGCATTATTGGCAGCTTCAACAAGACAATTGGCCGCTTTAGCAACGCTTTTTGATGCTGATATCAAACCATCTGACCATTGGCTATTACGTTTGTAAAACTCATTTGCCGTTGCATTTCCTGAAACATAAACGGAATCATCAGTTATTTCGATTTTTAAGCAGACAAATACAATGATTATTATAATTTATTGTTGACGAGTTATGCACAAATAAGAAAAAGGGTAATCATTAATCCTTACCTTTTTGGGAAGAAACTATTTCTTTTTGAAGCGTACGTGATTTTATATTCAATATTTTTATGTTCTCCATTAAAGCTGTACAGGCCTCCAATATTTTCTCGTTGACTTCCAGTTTAATTTTATTGTCGTTCTCACGGGACTTGGAGAGAAGGTCAATAAGTTTAGAAGCAGCTTCTTCAATCGCAGCATCCATCTCTTTCAGCTCTATCTCAATCAGCTTATCAAGATCCACGCTGTTCTCAAAGTTGTTAAGTATTCCTTGAACAAGCGCATTTAGTTCAGTTAATTTGCTTTGCGTTCCATTGGCGACATTGGCAAATTGTTGTTTATTGTCATTATTTTCAATAATTTCAAAAAGTTGAATTAGGTCCGGCCATATGGAACGTATTTTGTTAAAAACATCTAAGATTTAAAATAATTTTCAAATACAAGTCTATTAGTATTCAATCTGGACAATACTCACCCAGCCCTTTTTCGATTTCTTTTGTTGTTATATAAATTATATCACATTGCTCATACAGTTCTATAAAATAATACCCTAAATATAAAATGTCATGTATTTTTTCGATGCAATCGTCGATTGGTATGTGTGAGGAAGATTTCAATTTGTTCAATAACGTATCGATTTCGGCCGATAATTTGGGTACAACTTCTAATGCCTGCTGATCTCCGTCATTTAATGTTGAGGCACATGTTTCTTTCACCGTCTGGATTGTTAATTTCCTCATAGTCTCAAATTTGTCTTCAGACTGTTTATTTGATTTTGTCAAGGATTCTACTCTGTTCAATGCCTCAAGTAAATCGCCTTCAAGTTGTTTTTGATTTTGTTGCATGTCCAAGAAAAGTTTTTCCGATACCAATTTTTCTTCATTCAATAGAATTAAAGATGCCTCAGCTTCCTACAGAGTAGAACAAGTACTGTATTTAATATAAAATGCATTACATAATTCCTCGTTAATAGTTTACCTGTAAAACCATTTCCCTTTCTTTTAGTTTGGCTTGACTTTCATCGAACACAGTTCGTAAGGCTTGGGTTTCATTTTGAAGAGTTTCTTGGAGCTGTTTGTGCTCATTTGAAAGTTGTAAATATTTTTCTTCACATTGTTTATTGAAAGTTGTTAGGGTCTCTGTTTTATTTATTGCCTGGAGTAAATCATCTTCGAGTTCCTTCTGTTTTTGTTGCAAATCCGCTGAAAGTTGACGCAATACAACTTTTTCCTCATTTAATAAATTTAAAGATGACTCGGCTTGCTACGGTAGAAAATAGAAAGCATGTAATTGATACTAAAACTTTAATAAATCATATGCATTTGAATAGTTTACCTGTAAATCATCATCCCTTTGCCCCAGTTTGACTTCAGTTTCAACTAAAACTGAACGTAGATTTTGTGCATCACTTTGAAGCGTTTCTTGTAGTTGTTTATTCTCATTTGATAGTTGTAAGTATTTTTCCTCATTCTTTTTGTGAGTTTCAACTATTTCCTCGTTTTTAATTTTCAATAAACTTTCGGCTTCAGCAAGTTTTTGTTCTCTTTCTTTCAAAACCAATTTTATTTTGTCAAGCTCCATACTATCTTCGCTTAAAATATTTACCTTTGAATATAGACCAAGATTTTCATTTTCTTTTTCCTGTATTCTAGCCTCATATTTCATTTCTTTTTCACTTGCACTTTTCTCAAGTCGTGAATTTAAACTCTTGAGCTCTTCAATTTCTTGGGTAAGCTTACTACTATTATCTTTGTCTGATTCAATAGCTGAATTTACCTTTACAATTTCATTATTAAGTTCTTTAATCTGCAATTGCAATTCCGAATTAACTTGCTTTTCTTTATTTAAAGATTTGGAATGCTCGCCGTGCTGTAATTAAATAGAGTTTTAAGTGTTTTATAAAAAAATTCTAATTAATGCCTTACCTGACGTAGTAAATTGATATGTTCGTCTCTGATTTGGGTGTACATAAGTTTGAGCTTATTAAACTTTTCTGATGATAACTTTTGCTTCTCCTCCTCCTCAACTACTTTTTCTGTAAATGTAAATATATGTTTATATATGTAGTCGACATCTTCAACTAACTTGTAATAGTTCAACTCACGAATTAATATTGGATTGTTTGTCAATTGCAGTTCCAAATCATCTTTTTCCATTCGTATATTTGCGATGATTTCTTTTGAGGAAGCCAAATCGTTACTTAACGCTGTATTGCTCCTTTGGAGTTCCAGGACATCGTGTTTATAACTTTGTTCCAGTCCATCGAAATTGCTTTTCCATTCACATATTTTAGCATTCAGTTGGTCAATCATGTCGCTCTTATCTTCTAGCAAATTTTCCAATTCATTAACACGTTCATTTAAAATGTGATCTTGTTGAATATGATCGGAATTATTGGGTGAGTTGGTGTCAACAAGATCCTCTACGACGGGATCGGGTTCGGACTGAACAAGCACCACAGGCGGTACATAGCTACCAAAATCTACCTGTGACTGAAAGTTTGGACTATGCTCTGGCAACTGTGGAACAGTAATAAGGTCATGGAAATATTGTAAGGGCCTTACGTTGTCATAAAACAATTTTAGCTTAGCAAAAATGCCAGAAAACCGCTCGCGATGACCAGAAAGAACATCATTGGGCAATTTCTCATGAAGTTTGAACATTAGTCTGACACTCATATCATACAATGGGTTTGAGTCTTGTATAAGCGTGATCATTGGCGCCAATCTGCACTGGCCTGGTTGCGTCATCGATGATATCCGATATGTGTTAATTGAAGTAAATATTGCAATTTGAAGAAGAACAATGTCATCCAAATAGTCGAAGATTTCCACACACAGTTGAAAGCTAAGATAATAACAAATTGTGTTAGGTCGTCTATTGAATACAAATAACAACAATACATACTAGTAATTCAAGTCGTTATCGGCTGCATTTGCAATGCTAGCAAATGTTATTATAAGGTTTCCGGGATAGAATCGATTCTTGTCATGAAAGTTTAGTTTGGTAACTAACAACTTGCTATAAGCCTTAATACAATTGCCAATGTCATCTTGTAAATGTCCCCAGGACTTGCCAATTTCCAAAATCATTTTTTTATGCTTCTGCGATTGCTGTAGAACACATCGATGCGCTTCTCTTAAGACTTTGTGCAACAGATGGCAAAAGTGCCAGGCCGTAAATCTGCTCTCCATTATTGGTTGGCGCGTTATAAGCGACCAGAATGTTAGCGATTCCTTAGATCTATGGATTATAATAATAACCGAGCGAGCATGTTTCGATTTCAATGGGGTTTCCAGTCCCTTGAGAGCTTTCCGAATGCTGACATTCTAAAATAATTATATAAAAGACATATATAATTATAGAGAGATCTTACAAACTAATTTTGTAGATTAATTGTAAAGCTAAATTCTATAGTTATGCCAGTAAATAGTCAAAAAATGTTGTTCGCATAGTTAAGCTTTCAGACGTTCTGTAATTCTCACCTAATTACTATTTGTATTGAGTATGCATCAAATCAAGCACAAAGCATTTAGTATTATCTGGGGCTTTGCTTTCCCTCTCCAAAACACCGTTGTATCAATACCTGATAACATACTTTGGTTTCGACTTTATAATTTTGTCTGCGAACAAAGAATTCTATTTTTATTTAACTTATGGAATGTGAAGTGAATTTGTTCAATGGAGTGGATTTATTTATTTATTCAATAGAATGTTTTCAAAACAAACAGAAATTTGATGCACAACAGATATTTGCGTGCAACATAATAGCAACCGCTATTGCAATTGACCTAGTTTCCATTCAGTTGCAGCTGCCATCGTATTAAGTTGCAGCTTCATGTGTGTTTGTATGCATTTAATTATGCAGCTGCACATTAGAAACCGTTATACATATACATATATCTATTCACATATTCACATGTTGCATGTACACTTATTATTTGTATCGTTTTGACTTGAATATCACAACACTCAGATCATCGTAAAAGTAAAGATAAACTTAGAGCACATATTGGATATTAACAGATGTGTAGATCTTCTACATACCAAATGAAAATAGTCCTTTTCCGCATGAGTTGCCATTGTGAGGCGTTAACGAATTCACTTTATGTACTGTTTAACATGGAGTGAATCACACTTTGAGTCATGTGTGTATGTGTGCAAGCTGAAATACAAAATACATTTGGAACATTAGTTATCTTATCATGGGAGTATTCATTTTACTTGTTTATACAAGCACATTTATACGCTTGTATGTGTACATAAACAATATTTTGTATTGATCTATCGATACTTAAGATATATTTTATCTGCATTCTGATAAAATAAATGCAGTATTTTTAAAATACCAAAATAAACATGCCTATGTGTGCTTTTGGAACGTTGGAATGGAACACCGTTTGAAATTAGCCATGATAGAAAGAAGCCAAGAAAGAAATAAATGTATTACGCACAGCAATTCGTACATTTTAATTGGAAATTTATTTAATTATATATTAGCAAGGATGCAGATACCAATGCACGTTCAATATATATGTATAATTTTTGATTTAAGCGTCGGTGAAACTCCGGCTTATTGTATGAGCCAAGGGTGTACCCAGCCTTTCGTAAAGGGTAGTTTGAATGGAGCTTCATCCATCTAACCGTATGAGTCTATGTAAGGTTTAGATACAGCGGGAATCTTTTTCATCCCCTCTCCCTGTTCCACTCTACGGACCCAGTTGCTATCGGATACGCAACTTTTCTTTATAATCATGGTATATATAAGGATAAGGTCAAGAGGGCTTTAAAAAAATATAATTTAAGAAAACCATATAAAAATCGATGCCTATATTTTACGAAGATTTGTTAAAAGCTGGTAGTTAAGTTAGTTAGTTAAGGAGATTTTTGCCTTTATTTAAACATTTTTAAAATTGGTTAATTTAGTTAATATATTTTGATTGGATTTATTGTAACAATGCGTTAAAAAAATAATAATTAATTTAATAAGTGCTGTACTATCACCCTGAATTAGTTTAATTAATTCCTCGTATATATAAAACAATAGGTTCCTTCTCTATGATGCATGCACGAGAATAGGTGTTAATAGTGTTTGGAGTTCGAAAGCTTTTTTTTCATAGCTTTTATTTATACCTTATATATTGCTTTTTGTTTTATTTTAAAAGCTATTCGCACCGCATTTGCATGTAAACGAAAATTTATTTGGTTAGTCTTTTTAATTTAACTCCAATATAAACACTATATCACAGGTATTTTCCACTTAGAAAATTGTAAAGAAAATCTGAAAAAGGAAACAAATATTTAATTAGAATATGTATGCATTGTGACATTAAAAATCCAAGAACGAAAAGGATTAATTGAAACCAGTTTAAATACTTTTTTTTTTTTTGTGTCTTTAACTATATATTTTTTTGAAATAAGGACAAGTACTTGATATTTGATACAAGTATTACTCAATTCTTGTGTATAACTATAAATACACCCTGCTCACACACATGAACGTTCTACATTCGATTGTCTTCGATTAGAGTACATATATTTAATTGGTATTTTGCCCAATGTCCAATTTACATAAGGTTTGCTATTTATATCAAATTCTCATTGCGTTTTTTATGCACTCATTTGTGGGTTAGTCTTTGACCCTATATGTATTTTAGATTACGAAGACAATGGCGAGTGTTCTGAATTAGACATTATATATAAAGCAGACGAAGTGAATGGACTGAAAAGTATTGAAATTAGGCAATAATACCATTAGGCCAGATTGCATACATTACATACATATCGTATGGCTCATATTAGTTTTTTTTATTATTTTATTTTATTAAATATCTCGGCAAGAATATTATTAATCAGATTTTCTTTTTTTTATAAAGTCCAAATTTGTTTTTAGCTTAATTTGATTGTTTTCTAAATTTTATTTAGTAAAATGGGGGACGAAGAAGATCCTTGGGGTTTTGATGATGAAGGTGAATCTGATGCAAAGACTGCTGGATCCGTTGATGCTGTTCCATCCAAGGCAGAGAGTATCAAATCCGAGCAGAGATCCGAAACGCAAGCAGCTCCGGAGGAGCAGGAAAATATTGCTGAGCCCGAAGTTGAAGCGAAGGCACCTCCACCTCCACCAGAGGATGATGGGTACAGGAAACCAGTTCAGCTATACCGGCATTGGGTTAGGTAAGCACGAATTTTGGAATTTAGCAAGAAGAAAAATGTATATGTATATGTATATATAATTCTTTTATCAAAAGGCCGAAATTTCTGCAGTACAAATACATGTACAATTATAGAACCAATTACTATGATGATGTTATTGATTACCTTGATAAAAAACAAGTTGGTGTCTCACGTGAGATCCCTAGACCTCAGACATGGGCGGAGCGTGTCCTGCGAACAAGAGATATCAAGTGAGTAATATTTATCTTTTATTTTAAATATGAATGCATCATATTGAATTCACTGTTTCGTAATTCTGGTAAATGGTATACGTGTATCAAACATTAATGATGTAATACCTATTAAAAAACTTTATTTATATATACCAAGGAAGGACAAAGTCGATCTAGCCTTGTCCATCTGTGCATCTGTATTAGACTAAAGTACTTGAAAGCTATTTACAGCAATTCAAATCAATGAACATCTTCGATTAAAAAGCATTCTTAATTTGTATACCTTTTATATTTATATTTCCAGTGGAAACGGTATTGATAACTATGCCCAATCTACGAAGCGGGATAAACACTTAATTCAAACATTAGCTGCATCAATCCGGACTTATAATTACCACACCAAAGCATATATTAATCAGAAATATGCCGGTGTTATTTAAAACCATTACATATGCCAACTTTTCAATTAAAAAGAAATCGATTAGAATATTTTTATAGGATGTGGTCTTAAGCGTTTTGTATATACAAATGTACATAATAATATTATTTATACATTGAGACAAATGTTATATAGCCCGATTAGTCATCGAAAATTTTTAAAAATATAAATTTCAATATTGATGTGCATAAAGGATTTGTGCCTGGCAATTGGATAAGTCCTAGAGTCCTGTCAATAGAATAAGCCGTATATTTGTTTATTAAATTTTTGCCTATAAACGGAAATAATTAAGTAAGTGATAATTTTACATGCAAAATGGAAAAGATCAAACTACTTTAGAGCAATATAAAATAACTGTGCAATAAATATTTATTTAAAAAAAACAAATGAAACTGATGTCTTAATTTTTAGTTTTTTGTGTATTGTTCATTCAATGGACTTTAATGTCGGCAGATGATCTGATTCACTCACAAAAGCAACAATAGAAAAGAAAAATGCTAACCCATATAATAAATGAACACAAAATGACAACTACGGGATAACAACAGCTTAATTAACTTTAGAGTGGACTTGATTACAATTTAAAAGCTAACCAGTTGATGCTAGATCAACAGATGATTACATTATATGAAGAGTGGTAAGTATATTTTTCAGTATATATAAAAAATAATTAGCCTGTGAACAAAAATAAACTCTAGTTAAATAAATTGGGTTCACTCTAATCTCTGCTGTTGTGCACATACATTGAGATTTTTATTACATTAGTAGAGGTTTCTTACTCAACTACATGGGCTGTATTATCATGAACGCTCTCAAGTTTTGTTTAGTGATACTCTGGTTGATTCAAGTCAAAGCTAATACAACTTGGTAATTATATATAAATATATTTATACCAGAGATTCGTATTGAATTCTATCTCTTTTAATAGCTTGCCTAATGACATTCACGCATTGATCCTCGCCCGCGGAGGCAGTAAATTAATTACATATAAAAATTTAGTTGAAATCGATGGCTTGTCATTATTATCGCGTACTATTATAACCATAAGAAAATCAAATTGTTTTGAGCATATCTGGGTCTCAACAGATGACGAGAAAATTGCACTAGAAGCTACAAAATGTGAGTATTACTTAATACAGAAAATTTACGAATTTTCCTCAGAAAAGTATTTATTTTTAGATGGTGCCTTGGTCCACAATCGACCTGAAAAATACGCATTGGATGAGACATCGTCCGTTGAATCAGTCAAGGAATTCCTTGAAGTCCACAAATACGTACAAAATTTCGCATTGTTTCAATGCACGTCGGTTTTCTTAAGAGAGAAGTATATTAAGCAAGCGGTTAGTAAATTTAAATCGCATGATTGCGTATTTGCCGTTAAGAGGTATGCATTTTTAAACTAATTGAAAAAATCTTAAAAACATTTCTATAATACTCGTATATATATTTATTAAGATCTCATAATTTGCGTTGGAAATCGGTTAATGGACAAGTTTTGGCTGATAATTTTAATATGGAAGCCAGACCACGGCGGCAAGACTGGAAAGGAGATATGGTAGAAGCCGGAATGTTTTATTTTTCAAAGAGAAATCTGGCAATGAAAGGACTTTTACAGAATGAAAAGTAAGTTCCAAAGCTCAGAAATATAATCTATAGGAGAATTCAGAAAGCCTATAAGGTAGTTTATTTGATACAATTTCTTTTTAATGTCTTAGGTGCGCAGTTGTTGAGATTAAAGGTGAAGATGGTCTGGAAATTGATTCATATCGTGACCTGGATATAGCTCGTTGTATTGTAAATAGTAATAAATAGTTTAAAGTAAATAAATTTTTAATAAATCCACTAAATTTAAAAATGTAAAATTTTAAGATACAGTAGTGAAATTTAATAAAATTTACATATTTTCACAATTCTTGTTTAATTAAACGTGCGCTTGTATTTTTTCAAACTAAAATACAGATGCGCCCAATCGAGAGACACGCACAAATATCGATAGCTCTATCGATTAATACCATAGGTTACTTTAGTGCACATATAGCCATCACTAATGCATGCGATTGTCAATTATTTTTTATGAAGTTAAGTTTGTTTAAGATGAATATTAACAAGTTAACTGTTGCGACTAGAATTCCAATTGGATGTACAAAGTATTTCAGTAGCATTGCGCAAACAGAGCTACCGGCATCGTTTGTCAGCGAAGATGAGGAATATAAGTCTGTGAGCCGCGATAAATCTGGTTTGCGGCAACAACACAAAAATGTGCTCCTGGAAACAACGCCATATAACGAGGCACACTCTTGGATACATTTGACGGAAAAGTATCAGAGGAGTCTATATGGTCGATATGGCGGCAAGAGTAACGTTAATCCACAAATATGCTTTGGCACAATTACCGATCGAAGCGAAACACAAAAGCGCCAAAGTATTACGCAACCCGAAACTGTTCAACAACTTTTGGAAAAACTTCGGGTCAGCAAGGCCGAGAAGCAAGCAGCAATTCAGGAACGTGAAAATGGCATTCAAAAGAAGCTAGAGAAACTGGAGCAGTGGAAGGCGGACCTAAACGCAAAGGTGGAGAAGCGACGAGCAGATGCGGCAGCTGCCATTGAGCGCAAAGAGCGACTGATTGAAGAAGTGCGTCGGCATTTCGGATTCAAGGTGGATGCACGTGACGAACGTTTCAAGGAAATGCTCGAGCAGAAGGAGAAGGAGGACAAGCGCAAGCAGAAGGAAGCCAAACGCAAGGTCAAAGAGGATAAGATGATGGCCAAGCTAGTTAAGCAATCGAGTTAGTCTAAATGTGAATAAATAGCAATGGTATGTCTATTTGTCAAACAATATATTTATGTCAGCTGACAATAGTCATGGCATTGTTGTTTTTCTTCATCTTTATGAAAGTACCAAGGCGCTAAGAGGTTTGTGTCTATCTGTGGCAAATATTTGACAGAGTAGTTATTTGTTTATAGGTTTACATCGATTCGAAAAAGGAAAGTTCAAAGTTCCAGTTAAAGAAATTTATGGAGATAGCCCTTAAGCATTTTTTGTATAATGCAATGCAATATATAATTTAATTTGGAATGGTAAGCTTTGCTGCCTAATTAAATATTATTTTATGTATTCGAATAATTACTATATATCTTAATTTTTTTCTTCGCAGACAAAATAATAACTAAGTTTACTCAAAACATTTCTTAACTTCTGAACTGAGCCACATTTGCAATTCTTATCAGAAAAAAAGCAAGTGTGTGATGTACATTTAAAAACCACACGTTCAACCTTTATTTTAGTTCAATACTCCATAGCGCTTTAACAATAAAAATTGCGTACATAGAGAAAGATAATGATTAATTTTAACGATTTGTAGACTTTGGCTTAAATTTTCCGCGCTTAAAATTTGAGGACATTCAAAATTTGTGTGTTCTTCAAACAACTACTTAAGTTTACAATTATAAATATAGACACTATATACAAGGCACTTTTACCAAATTAGAGTGAACCGAATTTAACAGGATGACAAATCACTAACAAATATAAAGCCAGATATGTTTACATTTTGAGGTCGTACTTATTTTGAATAATTTGTGATTAAGTTAACTTTTGTCAGCCCATAATTGAAACCTATCCACGTCCTAGTAGATCTTCAGTACCAATTATTAGTTGTGTGTGCGGAGGATTTATAATTTTTTTGACTTTTTTTTCGTTGCCGGCAGTATGTTGGGAAAGTGCTGACTGCGCGTTTTATCCGATCGAATGTCTAGGCGTTTTAGGATTAGCACCAGAGCACAAAGGGCCACCAAATAGAGGGCGACCACATCCAGCAGATAGTACTGCCACCAGCTTCAAAAATAGAAAAGAATAATTAATATTTTATTGAATTGTGCTTGTTAAATGTAAACCTCAAATCTCGCGCTGGAGACTGCAGATGATAGGCGCCATTGTGTCGAAGGACGTACTCCGTCCAGTAGATGGATGTCTCCAGTGCTGTGGATCGTTGATCTAATAATAGATTCTGGCGATATCTGGCTGCACTTCTGTAGCGTGGATCGTGGATGACCTTCATGATAGCCTTGTACAGTTGGTTGGTGGACAGTGTCTCCAGATCCAGCTTAATCGCATAACCATCGACCTCTGCCTTGGCCGAGTTCACATCATGATCGCAAAAGACGGGCATTGTGACCACCGGTACTCCATGGTAAACCGTTTCAAACATGCTCAACAGACCGCCATGCGTGACAAAGGCACGCAGCTGACTATGGCCCAGAATGTCCTGCTGTGGCAGCCAACGGGATAGCTTCACATTTGGTGTTAGATCCTGCATATCGGCCTCATTGCCTTCGTATTTCCACAGCACATTGTAGGGCAGACGGGCAAATGTCTTGACGAGCATGCGACGTAGTGACTCCGGCATATTGGCAGCCTTCACTGAGGAACCCATTGATACATAAATGAATCCCGATGCTCCGGAGGCCGATATAAAATCATCCAAGTCCTTGGGCAATGGTCGGGCTGGCTTACAGTGTATGCAAGCCACCTCTGCCACGTTGGGAAGGAAGGGGCGGGGATAGGAGACGACAGCATGTCCATTCTGTAGAATGAAGCTAACGTTGCGAGACATATCGTACGGATGCGGAATATGTGAACCCAAATGATCCCGCAATATACGATGAGTACGACGCATCACATACTGTGTGGGTGGGATCAAGGATTAAAGGATAACCATCAGTCACATAATCATTCTTCAACTTACATTATGCAATATATTCTGGCCGATTTGCATGCCCGTATTCAATGCCCGCTCGTAAAGACTCATTGTGTCCGTTAAGCGAGAGTAAAAGTTTGGTGTTACCGCATAGCTTGCGGGATTTCCGGCCCGGGACAAACTGGCCATGTAGAATCCAACGGTGTTTACATACATAAACGGTGTTCTATGCTGATATATCAAGCCCAGCAAGCATTCGGGAAATGCGCCATCAAGTATAGCCAATTCAAAGGTACGATTCGCTAGATCCATTGTATCCGGATCCGACAACATTGCTTCGCATGACTAGGAATGACAACAATAAATAAGAAAAGTCCTAATTCAATTTTATAGCTTATAGCTCACCTCAAATGCAAAGCGGAGCCCGTCCCAAGGCTTGATGGGCATTTCGCCATTCATTCGGGCACCCAGCAGATCCCAATTTGTGTAGTTACTTATATATTCAACCAGACTGGCTGGTGACACCTCATGCAGACCATCGATATGGAAATCGGCCGGAAATCCACTTAAGAAGGTTATGTTGTGGCCTCTGAAAAATACATAATAAATATTTGCAACATAATTGAGATCCACGGGCAGATAAAATGATATGAAAAAAATTTGATTAACTACAATATTATTCTGCCTATATGCCTAAATAGATTTATATCAATTCTCCAAAATTGATTGACAACATTTACAGTTCGCTCAATATTTGCAGTGGTTCTCGTCGCAACTTTTGATTATTCAAATAAATATCTTCAACTCATTTTGAATTTTTGAAAAAATCGTTAGTATTATAATAAATTTATGAGCCTCATACATATTTCTTTGTTACTAAACTTGTCTGAAATGGTTGCAAGTTAAATGCAAATTACTTTTATGAAAAAAAAACCTCAAACATTTTATGAATGAATTAGTTTTTCACCAACTCCTCTTTTTTACTAAAAATAAATTATATGTTATAATATAATTTATAACTTTGACTCCTCTTACTTTAATTTTTTTTACAATCTGTTGCGAATAAATGATGTGCTACGTTTGATTCAATATATTTCATAAGTATCAAACATTTCCTGGTTTTATTTTTAGTTTATTTAGTAGCTATAGCAAATAAATTATTGGGTCTCATTGTAATTCATAGCAGGGCAATATTTTAAATAATTTTTAAAATATCCAAGCAGCACTTTCTAATGCACGTATAGTTTATGTGCTGATTTGTGAACTGAATTATACTTTATTTATTTATTTATTGCACATATCTATTTCAAATTTTGTCCCTTTAATGAAGTGACACAATTTCGAATGCCATTTAAAATTATTCACGTTGAACTTTGAACGCCGTTGATATCTTGTTGAGCTTTAAAAGGTTACAACTTATTTCTTTGTTAACATAAATAGCAAATTAAGACGCAACTTTCTTTGTTCACACACTTTGCTCAATATGAAGCAGTTATTTGTTAACAATACACACCTGTTTATCAATCCTTTCGCAAGCTCCCAAAATGGTATCTTGTGTGACTTTGTGCCTCCCATTGTGGCCATTAAAATATCCGCTCCCAGGGCCTGGCCGGTGAATAAAACAAATAACAGGCTACATATTCGATACATGATTCTGCAAAAAAATCATTTATAAACCAATAAATCTTTTTTTGTTGAATTTAAAATCTCAATTATATATGATTATAAATTTATTTTAAGCACTGACCCACCGATTGCCTCGACTTCCGAGCCGTATTTAAAATCAAATTCCTCTGAGGCTTGACATTTTATAGGTATAATTTCTATCACGTGTATATATACATACATATGCACATATATACATATGCCTCTGTATATAGCATAAAAGTGGCCAACGGTCATTTAGAACGTGTAATCGAGCGTTTAATGCTCATGATTCTACCACCCATAAATATATGAGTTTATAATTATTCTGTTGTTGATCAACAGGAATATTAGATAACGCATTAAGCCAGAATGAAAATGTCAACGAACGCGACAATTTAAAACTCTTTTAAACTCTGACATCGATAAAAAAATTAAACAAACATTAAAGGTATCCATAAAGTAACGACGAAGTAATTTTATCGTTTGAACTTCAGGGTAATATAAGTAAGTTATAACTGGTCGGAATTCCTTGCTTATACCTAGCAATTATGTAAGTAATAATTGATTTCATTGAGGGTAATAAAAAATATTAAGTATTGCCTTTAAAATATATATGTTTATTTTATGGGGTATATTTACAACTTGACAGTAAGTTATAAAGCACAACACGCTTGCTTCCGCCCGGGTCTTCTAGGTTAAGAGTTTTTAAAGTGAAATGTACAAAAAAAGTAATTAAGTCTCTCAACATAATAAATCTTTATACGACGCTAATGCACCGAGTTAATAAATATAATTGTTAGGAAATGGCTGGCGCCTAAAACAATTTCGTAGTTTTTACTTAATTACATATCTTTGGAGTTGAGATTGTATCAGTCAGAATCAAAAAATGCTTAACGGAACTGAAATTACCTTTATTTTTATTCATCTAACACAAACCAAATGTCTTTTTTTTTAGATATAAGATGTTGTAGGCTAAGTGGTCATCCAGCTAAACTGTGTCGATTTAGTCAGAAGAATTCTAGGGAAACATTTCATCTGTTTGGAAAAAAATCAAGTTTTTGGAAGCGCTAAAGTATCAGAAGAGATCTCAATAGATCTAATATGATAATAATAATATTCATCTTTAAATGTATATAATTACAATTTTAGGTGCAAATTCATGCACCATAAATAATACAAAGCTTGGACAATAAATCTGTTTATTGTTATAAATTTACTTTCAATAGTTATGCGATAAAGAAAGCTGACCTAATCCAAAAGAGAGCTCGTGTGTATCTCACTTCGATAGTTAAATGTAGTTCAGGTTGCTTTAACACCAAAACGTAGTTATTATATAAACTTTTTTCTTGTATATTTTAATGATTGTTATATGCATATTTACCAACACACATAAAAATTGCTCTGCAGGAAATGCAAATCACGTGCAACAGCGAAACTATTTATATCAAAATTGAAACGTAATTACAAACGTTTTCCAAAACTCCTCAGCATTCACGGAAGACTGCAAAACGAAAATGTTTATCGTTTTTATCTTTTTTCAAAATCTGTCTAAGCAGAATGCGTTACAAAGATTTTTAACGGATTTAATATTAATTGTTAGCTGCGGATGCTAAGCGGATATATTGAAATTTATGTTGACTTTAATGTAACCTTTGTTAGGTTTGGATATCTTTCTGGTATATACCCTATAAGCAATTGATAACAGATTTTTCTTTGTATCTATTTGGATTGAATTGACTTAGTACCGGCTAGTCAAGCACTCTCTAGAGCATTCTTGGTTGTTAAGAATAAGATTACATTTATTTACGTCCTTGAATCAACGAAGAATTGACAAACATGTTATTACTTAAGACTAAACCAGTCCAAGTATCTAACTTACCTCGAGGGTATAATAATATTGTGTGCTTGCAGTATTTAAGCAACTGCTCAATTTTGGCATTTTTAGCTTCTTGGCTTTCGAAAAGCTCACGATCGAGATTTCAGCTACGAAAACCAAGTAAGGGTAACTAGCGCTACGGTTGAGCTTGAATTCCCCATTTATAACCAGTTTGAGCATAAAGAGTAGTAGACTGTAATAATTACCATCATTTTACGTGCATTGGGTTGAATGCTCCCAAAATGAAAATGAAATTGCAGGCCTTGTAAATGTTGCACAGTGTAGTAATGAATTATTACAAAAATACTTATATTAAGGGAGCGTAATCATAATTAAAAAATATTTAATATATGTTTTATATTTAGTATGCATAGGGAGATACGCATATACAGTATACTGTTTCAGCTATTTAGAATTTTTTAAGCAAATGATTATAACTGACCTTTCTTTCAACTCTCGTTAAATTTATATAATATTGTTTATGTAAAGAATAGCGCAAAAAACCAAGGAATGCTGTTTGGCAAGAAGATTCTTTTGTAAGAATATTCTTCTTTCTCTTCCTTTTTTTTTTTAAATATTTCCTGAATGTTTTAATTGCCAATTTAAAAATCGAATTGCAAATGAAATGAATGCCTTTCGTATCCGATGTCGCAAAAGCAGTTTCGGCATTACAAAACTGACCACAAATCCATGATTAGCACAAATTGAATTATTTTTTTTTTAACATAACCAGTTTTCTAGCTGAACAATGATTTGCAACTGTGGCCAAAAAGCTTGGCAAATAGTGTACATAGCTCTCATACACTTGATTGAGAGTAGTTAAAATCTATCACGATTTGGTTGACACATAAAATATGCATTACAAATCGCTCAAATCTGACATCTATATCGTCTAGCTGTAGTGCCAATTAAAAAAAACACATGTACCGAAGACAAATCATCGATAACAAGATTGCATAATGAATATGTATGATACAAATTCATGTTATAAGAGTTGGTTTTTTTCTTTCTGAAAATTATGCCTAATTTGTCGCCAAGGGTATGAATGCTTTGGCATGCTGGAGATGAATACATAGATCCGCGTAGACGTATGATTTATAGTATTTTGTGTTTTTTTTTTTATAATTTGCAGCAACAACAGCTAATTGCCCTGTCAGTTTTATGTGCGCAGTTAAATAATGAAATGAAACATGCCCAAAAATGTGTCGAGATTTTTCACACACATACATCGATCAAAAATGTTTTGTCGCAAGATGTGCAAAAAAAAAACAATAATAGTAATAAACAAATTTCGCAATTACAAAGCAAACAAAAATATTATAAACACGTTTTTAAAACATATTTGACTGTTTAAAACAAATGATATTGCATTGAAGAAAAAAAACGCCCACAGAAAAAAACAAAAAAAAACAATCAATTTGCTTGAAGTAAAAAACTACTCATCTTTTCTATTGTCAATGTCACCTGCAATTTGTGTTGGCTTTTTTCTTTTTGCTATTTTTTTTATTTTTAAATTTTTATTGTTTGTGCCAAATCACTGCACATAAATTATTTTCAGGTGGGACAAATAAAGGCGCACAAAAGCCGCTAATCGAGCAGAAAATTAAATTTTTTTCGTTAAAATATAACTAATTAGCATATTTCAGACTAGTATGCAAAAAAAAAAACCAGAAAAGAAAAAATAAACAAAAATGAACTTTCAAATGAAATGTGTAACTTTTATTTGGGGATTTATTTTTTTTTATTAATTTTCCATTTGGTCTGGTAGCAACTGTGAGCTAATTATATAATATAAACATGCCCACACATATATAAGTACATGATATAAATAACAAGTGTGACTGCGCAACAAGTTCGTGTCGCAAGTCTTTTGTTTTTTTTTCGTTGTTTGTCGCTTCTCCAATTTGTCGACAGAGTTTTTCTTGAACCGTCATCCGTCAACGGGCAAAGTTGGCCGCTTGCATCGCTTTGACCTTGCGCTGACCCAACGCAGCGCCACCTGCTGTTATTATTGTTGCAGTTATATTTTGGTCATTTTTTATTTTCGGGGTCTTTCTTTATTTTGCGCAATCAGTTGGCTTTCGCGCCGGTTTTCTGTTGTCGCAATTTCGTGTTGTGCAAATACAGATGAATCCAGACACAAATACAGACTTGTATATGCAAGTGCGTGTGTGTGGGTAATTTCAGCATGTACGTGCGTATTTGTGGTAGGCTGAAAATCTGGTTATCAATTGCGTTAACAACAACGTAACAACTATCTGGACTCTCAGTTAAACTTTTGCTTTCGTTGCACTTGGTGTTGATTGGTATTTGATAATCTTTAGTGATATGTAATAAATTACACATGTATGTCTTAACATTAAGCACATTCGATTTGCATGTGTATATGTATATGTATTTGTCATATGTACCTAGTATTTTCCAATAATCAGGTCACAGTTATTATTTCTTGCAATTTTCTTATTATTTTCGTTGCACTTTTTATTTTTTCTTTTGTTTTTTTTTGTTTTTTTCTTTTTTTTAGTGTTGCATGTTTCATTGGCAGCCGTTCAATTCAATATTATCGCTGCGGTCGTACATAAGAGAAGCAGTTAACATACTTTCACCAATGCAAATGGATTATTTAATACAGGTATATAATAAATAAAATGCAGCATTTTTGCACGCTGAGTGTCCACTTTCACGTAACTGTTACCGTTAACCACTAAACTGCTAAGAGCACCCTCGAAATTGAATGCAAGAATAAAATCACAAATTCACTTTTACTGCCTCGCCATCACTGACTACGCTTATAAATTCGACATTATTTTCCAAATACATGGAGCATAACAACAAACAACAAGAAAAAACACCAACTACATATGGGTGTATGTACTTTTAGCTAACGAAACAATTTTTCTTTTTCTTGAAGCGAGTTAAACGGTTAAATGTGTGCAGCGTGTAAGTAGTTTCTCCGCGCGATTCCATTGACTAACTAAGCGACTTGTTGTTGATAAAAACGTCGTTATTTCTTTTTCGGAGTCAGCGTGTTGAATGTAACGACGAAAACGTAACGTAACTTAACGCTGACGGTTAAGGAATTGTATTTTTTGTGGTATTTTTTGGTGCTTTTATTAGTATTTTAAAACTGGTTGCGTGTGTAAATTGCAAAAGTTGCAGAAGCCAAACACCATCGTATTATTAAGAGGGATGACTTGTGCACTACGTAAAAATGAAAATTACCCAAAATCAACTATAAAGCGGACAGATGGCGCTGCTAAGCTTTTTAATAGTGTTGCATACTTTTGTGTACACAGCTTAGAACCCTTTACATATTGGCCCAATTTTGAAACATGGTCATTCAAGATCATGGTTGTGTGTATTAATTGCAATAGTCTCGGAAGCCATCCAAATATCATTAAGTTATACAACCAGGAATGACTTGTGGACATGGTATAAAAGGAAATTTCCCAACGGAAATTATAAGCGGACAGATGGCGTCGCTAAGCTATGAAATAATGTTGCATACTTTTCTATACCCAGCTTAGAATTTTTTAAGGTCAGTCGTCTCAAACCGGAAATGTAACCGTGAATATCTGTAGTAACAGAAATTTCATGCTTGCTGATTGCTAGAATCAATCATTGCATCAACTGACGTACAAAATAATGTAAGCAAATGTGCACGTGCGCACTGGCAGTAAGCTAAGGCCAAGAAATTTGAATAACTTAGAGATCGGGATTCCAAGCTGTTCAAAAACTGGTTTAAAATTTCCCAGCTAACTGGGAGAATATAAAAAGCGCAACTCTAGTTGTTGCTAATTAATTAATAACAATAATCCAAGTTCACATTGCACACATTTTAAAAGTAGTAAAAACGCAGATTTGCGTACTCCCGCTTTTTCTCTCACTCTCTCACTCTTTTTCGCTCGTTCGGGTGATTACACATCTGCTTCGGTTTGTTTGTGAGTTTGTGTGTGGAGATGAACGTGTAGATTTATCAGCAAAGTGAGTCTGCTGGTCTAAGGCCAATGTCAGTTGCTCTGTTGTTCTCCGTGAGTGAGGTTCGTCTCGCAGCAGTCTGGGAGTCTCTGGCTTTAATAAAACGATACATAATCGCAAAATTCACAATTAAATAGAGTAAAATACACACACAGATATATATATCTGTATAATTACGTGCAAACATATGTATAAATATATATATACATATGCATATACATATACTTATACATATACATACATAAGTGAACAGAGATACTTACACACGCACACGCAGTGTTTGTATGCACACTGCATTCCGGTTTTGGATTAATCAACAAAACGACAGCAAAAGCAACAAAAATACTGATATAACAATTTTGAGACGTCAGTGGCTCATTTAAATTCATAACAAAAAAAATACAAAAGTCCCCATCATTGGAAAAATCCAATAAATTATTTATATACATATATAAACATCTTTCAGGTCGCCCAACATAATCGATTACACACAATTGTCTATTATTTGTATACTAATTTTGGAAGAGAAGCCCCCAACATGATTTTAGCAGGTAATGGAGAGATAAGCACTGTACATATTAAAAAATTCCGGCATTTAAAGTCTGAAATTCTGACCTTACGGATTCGTTCTTAAGAAAAACAGTGAAATTTGAATAAATATATTTTGTGTTAAACTCAAAACAAATCCCATTTGCAGATAATGCTATGCGACTGGGTGTCGGCATATTATTGCTTTGTGTGATTTGCTTGGGACAGCAGCAATTCCCGCCATTATCTGTGGGCAGCACTTTGGAAGCACTGACCCCGTCGGCTGCCTTTCAATCCAACAATTCTCCGAATCAGGCCTTACTCTCAAATTTCAATCGAGAGACGCTGCGTTCAATTGCAAAGGGTGCACAGGAATTTGGACTCGATTTACTAAGTCGTATCTCCATCGGCTTGGGGAATAACATGACTGATTTTATGATATCACCATTCTCGGTGTGGTCACTGCTAATACTGATTTACGAGGGCGCCGCTGGCCAAACATACCAGGAACTCCGCAAAGCGCTACGAATCCGGGTCGAAGATGCCGAATTGCGATCGGTTTACCGAGTGTGGAGTCAATATCTCAAGTAAGTGAAGATCTTCCCAGTTAAAATTAACTTTAAGCGAGTAATAATTGATTCCATCTAGCACAAAAACTTCGACCATTGAGGTGGCTGCGCTGCAAGCACTCTACACGGATGTGGAATACCCGGTAAAGAGCAGTTATCGCGATGTGGTCAAGGCCTATCAAGTGGAGCCCATGGAGGTGGATTTTTATAACCGTGAGACGGCACTCCTGATCAATACTGCCACAAATCTCACAACACGTGGCCTCATTCCGTATGCGGTGCTGCCACAGGAGATTTATGGTGTTAAAATATTTATGCTGTCCTCGCTGTTCTTCAAGGGTCAGTGGAAGGTGGGGCATCTATATAGAAGACACAACTGACAGATCTAATACAAAAGTAATGATTCCCTACAGTTTCCCTTTAATGTGTCAGAAACACACCCGGAGCCGTTCTTCAATGAGCGCGATTCGCCGATCTCCCAGGTGCAAATGATGACGCAAATGGGAAATTTTGCTTTTCTGACCAACCTCGAGGGCTTGGATGGTTATGTGCTGGAGCTGCCGTATGGTGTTCAGAATCGACTCTCGATGATTGTTGTGCTGCCCAAGCGAGGCTTCAAGCTCAAGGATATTGCCAATAATTTAAATCGGTTGGGCTTGTCGCCTATTTTGGAGCGCTTGGAGAAGTTTGCGAGCAATGCCGACGTGGACAATGAGGTGGAGGTAATCATGCCCAAGTTTACCACAACGACAGATTTTAATTTGGTGAAACTGCTCGAATCGGTGAGTTGTTGAATTGTAGATCACTTAACACATACGCTGATATATATCATTTACAGATGGGCATACGGGATTTGTTCAATAAGAACACTGCCAATCTCAATCGCCTTTCCAACGGCCTGTACGCCAACCTCTGCGTGCATGCCACCAAGATCATTGTGAATGAGCAGGGCACTACTGCAGCAGGGGTAACTGTCTCTTCGCTGAGCAACAAATCGACGCCACCAAAGTTCCATTTGAATCGGCCATTCATGTATATGATTGTAGAGAAGTCGACGGGTCTGCTGCTCTTCGCCGGTGAAGTGAAAAATCCAAAGTCGTTTTAAGACTGAGATTTATTAAATTTTAGAACTTAAATAAACGATAAATGCGGCACGAGTCTCATTTTTTCGCACGACCCGCTGCTTTTTTGCCACCAATCGGCTGTTGTTTGTCCTTGCCGGCCTTGCTGGAAATAAGTGGATGGGTTTCTGCAAAGAACACAGCAACAAAAAGTGAGTGTAAATCTGGAGTAGGGATTAGGTCTTGCTTACCATCGGTGGGTGCATCGGGCAGGCTGACATCGTAGTGCTGCATGCGTCGACGCTTGGATGCCATGATGTCGTCTTCATAGTCTCGCGAGTCGTTGCCCATCAGCGCTGAGCTCGGCTCCATGTTGTCTTGCGGTGTCCAGCCATCCTCGGGATCCTCCACCTCCGGTGCCATGGGCAGAAATTGTAGAGCATTCTCGTCTTCGCCCTCCTCATCGGAAGAACAAAAGGCGGCAACTGGTTCGACTTTTTGTACATCAACTTCGATCTCCTCATCCTGCTGGGCATCGGCATTCAAGTCCACAGATTTATCCTCATCACCAATATCGAACTCAGACTCGCGTTCCTCGTATTCAACATTCTCGTCCAGTTCCTTGAAGTCGGGCGCAAATGCCGACCAGTTCTCCACCTGATTTTGTGCCCATATCGAAACCAGGCCCGAACTAATGCTAGCTATAATTGGACGCACCGGATGCCACACAACATCCAACAGCAGTTCACCCTTAGTGCCATGGAGTATCTTAACCAGATTACCAATCGACTTCTCCCATATGTAAAGCGCATGTTGACGTGCGCTGCCAGCACAAATGTATTCACCATCGCCAGAGAAACAGCATTTCTTCCACGTCGTTCTGCGAATGCAATCAGAATAATCAGAAAACCGAATTCCTGTCTAGTCGGAGTGCTTACTTGTTGACCAGATCCTGCAGTTTTTGTATGGGTTCCGGTTCGCCATCCTTGCCCAAGGCAATAATCTCCTTGGAGTCATAGACTCGTATTACCCGATCCGATGTATTTATGAGAAAGGCGCTGCGAAAAAGAGTTGAAAGAACGTAAAGAAATATGCATGGTCATGGAATTGATATATATGCTTGACTTACTCGCCTCGTCGAGCGAATTCAATACTTTTGACTGCTGTCGCACTCGACGTGCCTACAATGATGCGAAAACTGGCAACGACTTCAAATGTTTCCACATCCAACACAAGTATTTTGCCTTTGGCGTTGCCTGTGTAAATGTGCTTGCCACGACGGTCGAAAGAGGCCACTATATTCAAATCGCCCTGCCAAATGAGATACAATTAATATAAACACTACACAACAAATGAATTCCCTTTTGGAGCAACTCACATCCGAATCCAGCGGCAAACAGCGATGTGTGCCGGCAATTTTAACTAGCACAGCTGCATATCGCATGGGACAAACGAGTAGACGGCTGTCGTTGCGTGGATCAAACTGGACTTTTAGCACCGGCGAGGGAAAACGATATTTGTGCTCCAGTTCGCCGGTGAGCACGTCCCAAATGCAAACATTGTTGTCTGTAGAAGCGGAAAGCAACTGAAAATAGCAAATTGATTTACACGCTAACAACATTATATATAATCAGAGAATGTATTCCGGTCACCTTGTGGCCATTTCTTGTCCAGCTGAGACTGCACACGGGATGCACATGTGCCGAAATTATTTTAGCAATGCCGCGCGTCAAAAAGTCCCAAACAACAATGCGCCCATCGTTGCAGCCAACGGCGAGCAGAGTGCCGTATTTGTTAAAGGAGCAGGTTACCGCCAGTGATATGCAGTCCAGCGATCCATCAAACTCTTCCGGATAGTTTTGGCCAAAGGATTCTATTCAAGAAGATTCGAAAGTTGAAATGATTTCAACGAAAATAACGATAAGCTTACCAAGCAGTTCCAAATTCATGTTTGGGTCTCTTCTTCTTTGATATGTCCATTCACACAAATATGTGTCTATGTATCGTAAATCGATTTTAAGAATCTCCGATAGACGGTGGGAATAGAACCAGTCACGTATGAACTAAATGCATGACTTTTGTCATTAAATTCTTTTCAACATTTGGTCACACCAGATCCGAGTGGGTTTTGTGCGCACGTTGTACGTAAAAGTTTCATAAATCGATTATAATTGCATTTAAGTTTCTTAAAAATATCGAAATAGTGCAGCAACATCAACTAAAACATCAATTCTATCAACTAACATACCAATTGGGTCATTTACAAATTTGACGTGCTTGCGAAATGATTTTTGTGTCGACGTCACCTTTGGAGCCCCTCTCTCATCCTCTTGCTCTCACTCGCGTTCATTATTTTGCTCTCATTCTCTGTCTTTCTCTATCTCTCTTTCTGTCTCTTAAGTGAAGTGAAATAATAAGTTTGATTTTCAACTCAAGTTTAAATAGTACTTTTGATTTCTTTGCTACAACTGCTCTCGTATGAACGTTTCAAATAATTGTGTTATTTTGTGCTCAAATCAAAATTTGTTATAACGCTCTCAAACTCCACTTTCTTTTGAGCTAGTTTAGCTGTTTTGTTGCTGTTTTCTATTTTTTTTCCCCCAGCTTTCTTTATCTTATCCACACATATATTTATATATAACACAACATTTACATATGTTCATATATTTATGTTTTGTGTGTAATTTTATTTATTTTTTCAGTGTATTTATCGCCAACCACGTTAAAAGGAAGAACGTGAATGTGAATACAAAAAACGCAACACAAAACTACACCTAACAAACCAACAAATAACAACAACAAACAACAATCGTCGTTACATTTCCACATTTCGCTGGCAGAGAGAGCAAGTTGAAATTAAAAAGTCCCCCAAAATTGCACAAAGGGCTCCCCGTAAAATAAATAGCAAATAAATACGCAAAAATGTCTGGCGAAGAAACGTCTGCTGATCGCAATGTCGAAATATGGAAAATAAAGAAGCTTATCAAAAGTCTCGAAATGGCACGTGGGTGAGTAAAACCTATCTTCACATAATATATATTTATTTTGCAATTTGTATTTTTATGCAGTCGACTAAATTTTTTTTCTCGCTTCGCTTTGTTTGTGTGCGTGTGGTGGGTATATACGAAAAATGTCGTGCTGTGGGGAGCAGTGGTGTGGGAGGGGTGGCTGAGATATGCATCGCGCCGTCGCCGAACATCGAATGCTGCCAGTGGAGTGAGTGTAATGGTCGATTTGTTGCCTATTTTGCACTCCTCACCCCCCTTTTGTTGGCCATCAATTAGCGCTGGCATAAAAAACACGGAAAAAGAAAAGCACAGTGGTTTAAATATGTCGTCGCATATTGCGGAATATGAAATTTCCTTCAGCGATTTGCTTTGAACCATTTCGATTCATGTGCGTGGCTGTCGTTGGTAACAAACAAACAAAAAGAAGAAAAAAAGTGTCATATCTGTGTTGCGTTGCCCCACACTTTCTCACACACTTAAACAGACAGAACGCACTCACACACAAAACTCAGTTAATGCTCTCGTTCGCTCTCTCCCTCTCTTATGCGCTTGCAAAAATTATACATTGAGAGCAACACGTTTTTGTCAGGTTTTTATCAGTTTAAACCAGACGAAGAGAGTGAATGAGTGAGTAATGCAAATGCTGTGTTGGCAACAAAAACCAAACATTGATTGCAGCTGATATGCACTGGTGCCAATTTGTGTACATTAAAGCTGCATTTACTTTCATATATGCATCTAGCACCTAACAACGACATTTTCTGTTGATATTATTATTCAAGCCTTTGTTCAATCAACATAGATCAAAGTATATTTGTATTTGTGAACCATAACAAATCATGCAATTTGACATTCACAACGAATGCGAGGAGCCACCTGAAACGGCGGCATTGTGCCAGCTAGAGATGGTCCTTGTTTATATCGTATGCAATTAATTTACATAGGACAACAAATTATCGATATATTTATTTTTAAGTTTAAATATCTCGGTTATATATATATTAACGAATTGTTCTTGTTTGATTTAGAAATGGCACCAGCATGATTTCGTTGATTATTCCGCCTAAAGATCAAATCTCTCGCGTCAGCAAAATGTTGGCCGATGAATTTGGTACGGCCTCCAATATCAAGTCGCGCGTCAACCGCCTTTCCGTCCTGGGCGCAATTACGTCGGTACAGCACAGACTTAAGTTATACACCAAAGGTGAGTGATTCAACCAATCATTAGTCATTTAACTAATTAATGTTCCATTAATTTGGACAGTGCCTCCCAATGGTTTGGTCATTTATTGCGGCACAATTGTCACAGAGGAGGGCAAGGAGAAAAAAGTTAACATTGATTTTGAGCCATTCAAGCCAATCAATACCTCACTATATCTGTGCGACAACAAGTTCCATACGGAGGCACTCACTGCCCTGCTCGCGGACGACAACAAGTTCGGCTTCATTGTGATGGATGGTAATGGCGCTCTCTTTGGCACCCTACAGGGCAATACGCGCGAGGTGCTCCACAAATTCACCGTCGATCTGCCGAAGAAGCACGGACGTGGTGGTCAATCCGCTCTGCGTTTCGCCCGTCTGCGCATGGAGAAGCGTCACAACTATGTGCGCAAAGTGGCCGAGGTTGCCACACAATTGTTCATTACGAATGACAAGCCAAACATTGCTGGCCTCATTTTGGCCGGTAGTGCGGACTTCAAAACTGAGCTCAGTCAATCGGATATGTTTGATCCCGTAAGTAATCCCAAAACACTGCTCACGAATACCCTGCTAAGGCAAAGGCTAGTTCCACTGGCTCGAAATACGACCCAAAGACAATTCGCGTATGTCTTGTATAATTTTCGCATTTATCCTACAAAATTACTATAAATCGTCAGTCAAACAGCCAGTGGAGCAATATATCATACTGAATGATCCTAAAAAATGTATGCAACTCTTTGTGGAACAAATCAAACAGACAAAAAAAAACTAACACACAAATCTTTGGCAATTGCAGCGTTTACAAACAAAAGTGATTAAACTGGTGGACGTCTCTTATGGCGGTGAAAACGGTTTTAATCAGGCAATCGAACTAGCCGCTGAATCGTTGCAAAATGTCAAATTTATACAGGAAAAGAAACTCATTGGTCGTTACTTTGATGAAATTTCTCAGGTGAGTGATGATAAAGCGCTCCAAGGCAGCACAGTTTATGAATGAAACAAACGATTTTCATTACAAGGATACTGGCAAATACTGTTTTGGTGTAGAGGACACTTTGCGAGCCCTCGAAATAGGCTCTGTGGAAACATTGATTTGCTGGGAAAATCTGGATATCCAACGCTACGTACTGAAGAACCATGCGAACTCGACGTCAACGACAGTATTACATTTGACGCCCGAGCAGGAAAAAGATAAGTCTCACTTCACGGACAAGGAGGTATGTTGTATATACAAATAATAGTCATAACTTTGTTATTAATAATTATTTAATTGCAGAGCGGAGTTGAAATGGAGTTAATCGAGTCTCAACCGCTTTTGGAATGGCTGGCGAACAATTATAAAATGTTTGGTGCCACACTTGAGATTATCACGGACAAATCTCAGGAGGGCAGTCAGTTTGTGCGAGGTTTCGGTGGCATTGGCGGTAAGTCGGTAACAATTATCAAACTACCTTATATATATTTATATCTGAACAATCTGTATATAGTGCGAGTGTAAGCTACAAAATTAATTACGTATCTACTGTTTCCATTCCTTTTCCTCCTTCATGCTGCTTTAAACATAACTCTAAATGTAACTTGGTCAACTTAACGTCGTTCCTTGTGCATAACACCATCAACTTTAATTGTTATAATATATATATATATATATCTATATATATATATAACAAATGCATAAATATTTATATATATATATATGTACATATATTTTTTGAATAATATGTGTGTGTATATATAGGCATTTTACGCTATAAAGTAGATTTTCAATCGCTACAAGCTGATGAACCGCTGGAGGACGTTGACCTCGATGATTACTAAAAAAAAAATATATAAAAACAAAAACAAAGAATAAAATCAAACCAACAAAAAACAGCATTCGCACTGCATAGATTTTCGGATCTCAATACACAAATAATAATGTGTTTTTTTAATTTCTTGTGAAACGCCATAAATTGTTCAAAAATTGATAGGAACCAATTTACTTGCCGCATAGTTTTTATCTACGTAAATTTCAAAATAGCCGTTTATCCTAAATTCGGAAATAGATGCTCCCCATTGCATCGCTCGTTCGTTTTAGACATACATTTACGTATATAGTATATATAACTTGGCCACGTTTCATATTTACAGTCCGACTATTGTTTTTTTACGTTTCATTAAATTAATTTTCAAAATGAGGCCCATCGGGCTTAAATCAATATTATATTCAGCTTATCTTGATAAAAAGTTTTCAGGCATATATTATGAAATTCTTTTCATTGTCTTCTATCCGTCTGTTCTGATATTGCAAAGTAAATATGAAACTTATATGTTTGAACTATACCTACTTAGTCGTGTACGTGTACGAAAGACATATATAGTTAAGTGAACAAAGCCATATACGTTTAAATATATGTATATATAACAGTATAGCAGAAAATGCCGAAAGAAAAACATATATACTTATATTTAACAAATTAAAAATCGATGTATTTACAACAACAGCATTCATTGAACAGTGTACTAAAATAAATAAACATTTGAATTGAATCGAGTTTGCTCTGCTGACTTTTATATAATTCTCGTTAAATAATAGATCAACTGAAACTGTGGCATTATACATTATATTTATATATATACTCGTATCTGACAAGCATTTATAATATTTACATAGGCAATTTCTTTGTTTGCATTTGACACAAATTAAAAGCGAAAACTTATTAAGTACACAATCAAACAAACAAACAAACAAAATGCATAACAATAGATGAACAAACAAAACCTGAATAAAAAATTTAAAATATACACCTCCCGAAATCGTAAAGGAAACTTCTTACAAATTATTAAAAGTAAAAAAATGATATTGTATTCATATGGGGTTCTTAAGTAGATAAAACGATCAGATTTTAGCCAATTTTGGAGCCTGCAATTGATGAAGAAACACGAGATCAACAAACCAAAGGAATTGCCTCAAAGGAATCAGCTTAAACGAAATCCATCACTCTTCCATTCCACACTAACTGAACTGAAGTAAAGCACAGGACTGCACTGCGTACTTGTTAACCCGTAATAACAAACTACTCATTTTAAAAACTTATGGAATATTCCACGTATACATATCTTATACCACTTTATTTGATATACATTCCAAATGTTTACATCACTTTATTTGTATTGAATGTTTCACTGATAATGTGTTGTTGTATTATTTTGATTTTTTCTTTATGTGAATTTTTGATATTTTCGCTTGCTTGATTTCAATTACGCTTAATTATTAGTTTTAATATTAAATTTGATTAACGTATATTGATGCTGCTATTGCCATTAACTAATCATTTTGAATATTGCCAATGCTCTTCACAGGTATCTTGCGCTACAAAGTGGATTTCCAGAGTATGCAGCTCGATGAATTGGACAATGAGTGCTTCGACTTATCCGACTACTAGATAATTTTGCACTGTTGTAATCAGTTTTTTTTTACAAATTACAAACCATCGACCGCAAATTGATAATTGTTAAAGCATAAAAGAATACAAAATCGAAGAGAGCAAATAGAATATTTTAATAATATACACAAACACACACACAAACAAACACAATCCTTCTTCCATTTTAATGTTGTTGGCGAATAAAAATAAAATTGCAAATAATACACAAACCATAAACACACATAAAAGAAAAAAGATATAATGTTAAAGCAAGAGAACAAAAAAATATATAAAAAGGAAACCGTTTTACGTGAAACAAAAAACGTGTTACACTTTTCTTTATATTGATATATTATTATAATGGAATAATGCGATTAATAACGATGCCTTTGATCAAAGCTGGCAAAGCTCGCCCAGTCGCTCAATCTCATCCAGGATAACATCCAATTCTCCAGCTTCGAGCACGGGAAAACAAGTGAGCACCATGCGAAAGAAGTTGCCCAACTGGCGACTAGTCAACGGCGAATAGCCAATCATCAAGGTGCCACTGTACGCCATCTGCTCCTTGACTTTGGGTGCAACCTGTTTAAGAGACATTCGTTATTGATTTGATATAATCGAAGGATTGTCGTGACCTACTTTATATAGGCGCGACCACCACTCTGGCGTTTCCTCGGATGCATTCTGGACACGCATTGACTTTGGTATATACCAGAAGCAGACATTAGAGTATTCGTGCTGCTCCAGAACAAGCCGGAAGCGATCTGCACGGGAGAGCAGCTTCTGCTCCAGCAGGCGGGACATTTCGATCGCGTGATCAACCAGATGTCCATAGTTTCCATATCCGCGTGCTTTCAGCATTAGCCAGAACTTGAAGGCGTCTATTTTGCGACCACACTGAACGCTCTTGTTGCCGGTGTCGTAGGTGATGTCATAGAACTTGTCCTGCTGGAACAGATAGTTTACCTCAATGCTGTTGCAGTGCGCCAGGAGATTGGACTCGCGAGTGAGGAACAGCGAGCACTGCAACGGCACACCGAGTGTCTTGTGCGGATTCCAGGCAAAGGAGTCGGCCCGTTGCAGCCCAGCCAGCAATGAGCGATGCTTGTAGGCCAGTAATGCTGCACCGCCCAGACAGGCATCCACATGCAGCCAGAGTCCGTGGCGTTCCGCGATATCAGCAATGCCAGCGATATCATCGAATGCACCCAGCACAGTTGTTCCCGCGGTAGCATTAATAAATAACGGATCATGGCCGCGTGCTTGAGCTGCCTTTATCTTGTCCTCCAAGTCAGCCAGAGACATTTGACCTCTGGCATTGGTGCGCACAGCGATGCAGTTGTCGGCTCCAATGCCCAACCAGTGAGCCGCTTTCTTCAAACTGTAATGCGCATCCTCAGAGGTGAAGATCACAAGTGGACGTAAGCCAAACATGCCCGTGGATTTAACATGCGGTAGGCGTTTATAACGAGCCAACACCAGACCGTACATATTCGCTGTGGAACCGCCTGGTGACATAATTCCATCGCCCTGGCTATATCCAGCTAATCGGCAAACCGTTGATATGAGCTCCGTCTCAATCAGGCTGAAAACCGGCGCCACCTCAAAGGTGTAGCTGAAAGTGCAGATTTTAGTGGAACATATCTATAGATAATATTTGTTAATCATATTACGAGCTGGTATTCAATGCCTCGGTAATCCAAGCACCAGCCAATCCAAAGGGATCCAACTGTCCAAACAACTGATTGTGAAATCGTCCATGTGAGGTTTTCACGGAATATCGAATGACCTGTTGACAGATCTGCTCGAGGTCCAAGAGTGTGCTTGATTCCTTTTCCTTGATTGTCAGATCTATATGTTGCTGCGAGAGAAATATATTAAAATGATGTACTTGGGCATATTGTGCTAATTAGGGGGAATATTGCACCCGTCGAAAGATTACGAAATCGTTCCAATACATTGATTATGCAGCTGCACAATTAAAACTCTTTCAATGCTGAACATTAAAAAATGGGCTTATCTTGAATCTGTTTCAGATGTCAGATGATTTGACGAGATGTTTAGACTTCGGTCTGGCTATAAAAAGTGGCACTCACCTTCAGCTCCTCCGGCTGCATAAAGTCGATTATTTTCTGTTCCTTCCACTGCTGCGGATCGGCACAGAGAGTTTCGTCCCTTTGCACCAGCTTGAAGACATGTTGTAGAATTTTCCAATCGTTCATTAACCCCTCGCGAACTCCATCGACAATCATTGAACGAGTCTCACTTGTGCCATCCATTTTATATGCTTTACTATAAGAGTATTTAATGCTACAACCTTTGCAGTTAGCTCTTCAATTGGAAATGACAAGTGGATTGCGCGTGGCGCTGCATTGGACCTGATTGTCGATTGAATGCTCGCTAAAGTTGTAAATTAAATAATCATAAATCGATTACTGTGTAGCTTGACAAAGAGAATTGTAAAATCTCACTGGTATTTTATAACAATCAGTTAAGAGTCTTTCTCTTTTCATTATATAACTTGCCCACACCAACCGATAAGTGTACCCATAAGTACCTTCAGTTCTCTGTGATTTCCCCACAACCACAAAGTCAATTGTTAGTTTGTTCACGCTTTTTGCTTGTACTGAGTGGATGTGTGTCAATACTGATACGTTTTTGTTTACATGAAGCATGTTGAAGATGACCCAAGCGGAATGCAGAAAGACAATCGTTTTCAAAGCCGGTTTATTGATAAGATACAGCTACATATTTACATACAATATACAATATTATTTGAATTTACAAATCAAAGCACGATCAGCTTGTCAGAATTTTTAATTGACCAATCAAACCCGTAAGTGTAAAAGCTGGTAGAGGTCTAAAATGAGAAACAAGAGAAACTTCCATTTATCAGATCAGATAATAATATGAGTAATGGCGAGTTAAGCCAAAATTGGTGTGTGACATATTTCAATACGCCGCGCAAGTAGTTTTAAATATAGTGTGCCCGTATATGTCAATCTATCGGATTTGACGCAAAAATATTCGATAAAGGGAGTCGATAACGTAACAGCTGTGTTAGAAATGCCAGCAGCAGCCAACTTTGCGTTTATCACATTTTAGATTTAACAAATCGGGAAGAACTATTTACTTTGCTCGTGTTATTAAATATATAATTGGTAAAAATGGGACGCGCTGAGGTTGGTACGCCTAAGTACCTGGCCAACAAGATGAAGGCGAAGGGCCTGCAGAAGTTGCGCTGGTACTGCCAGATGTGCGAGAAACAGTGCCGTGACGAGAACGGCTTCAAGTGCCACACAATGAGCGAATCCCATCAGCGACAGCTGCTGCTCTTTGCAGACGCGCCAGGCAAATTTCTACACAACTTCTCGAAGGAGTTCTCCGATGGCTATATGGAACTGTTGCGCCGTCGCTTTGGCACCAAGCGCACCAACGCTAACAAAGTGTATCAGGAGTATATTGCGCATAAGGAGCACATTCACATGAATGCCACTCGCTGGTTAACTCTGTCGGACTATTTGAAGTGGTTGGGACGCACTGGTCAAGTGGTGGCCGATGAAACGGAGAAGGGATGGTTTGTGTCGTACATTGATCGCAGTCCGGAGGCCATGGAACGTCAGGCGAAAGCCGAACGCAAAGAGAAAATGGAAAAGGATGACGAGGAGCGCATGACCGAATTTATTGAGCAACAAATTAAGAAGGCAAAGAAAAAGGACGGCGACGATGAAGAGGATCCACAGGAAAAATATACAGAACTGAAGCGAGAAGAGGAGCAGCCTCTAAAGCTGGACATACGGCTGGAGAAGAAATTTCAGCCCGAATCTATATTGGGCAGATCTGCGCTACTCACAAAACGCACAGCCACCGAACCAGACGAGAAAGTTTTCAAGAAACCCAAGCCAATGGCAGCGGAGAGCAGCAGATCCGCACTGGATGAGATTATCAAACTCGAGGAGAAGAAGAGGGAACGTAACAATCGTAAGGAATACTGGCTTCACCCAAACATCGTAGTGAAATTCATTTCCAAATCAATGGGTGACAAGTTCTACAAACAGAAGGCTGTCGTCCAAGAAGTCATCGACAAATTTCGGGCGAAAATCAAGTTTTTGGATTCAGGCGAAAAGCTCAAAGTTGATCAGGTAGTTATGCGTGAGTTCCATATATAAATTGAAATAATTAATTAATAAATCATCTTTCAGGCACATCTGGAGACTGTCATACCCGCCTTGGACAAGGAAGTGATGGTCGTTAACGGCGCCTATCGTGGCTCCGAAGCATTGCTCAAAAAACTAGACGAGCGAAAATATTGTGTTACCATTGAGATATTACATGGTCCACTAAAGGGACGTGTCGTAGACAACGTACAGTACGAGGATATAAGTAAATTATATGACACATAGCTGGCAAAATATCCAACTGCCTTTTTACTTAGATTAAGGTTAAATATAGATATATTTTAAATAAACTTTATATTCTAAAGCTAAATATTTTTCAATGATTTCCCTTAAGTATGCTGTACAGTTAAATATAAACGTTTTTGCCAATCTGCTCTTCTTATTTTGATCACGCAAATATTTTAATCGCAAATTGCGCGTTAAACTCAAAACACCTGCTGACAATGACTTTGTTTTTTAAACATCGGCAAGATAGTCTAAATATGGGAAACATATGTTTTGTGACCTACAAGATATTTGTATAGTCTTGTAGTGTATAATAATGTTGACAAAAAATTTAAATGACATAGACATTTCGGAAAGTTTCCTTCCGGGTAGAAATAATATAAAAATTGGAAACAATTTTTTTTGTCACACTGATTAGCTTTGCATCCAAACTGGTAGAGAATCAAAAAGCTTTGTTTATCAAATTAATTAGAATCAAATTTCATGAATTTTTCTGCAAGTGTATTTAATTTTCGGTACTACCAAAAATATGTTTTATTTATTATTTGTTTTTTTGCCAACAATGCAAACAAAGGCTTCTCCATATATATAGAAGTTCGACCCACTTGCAAAACTTGATGTTTAGAACCTAAATAACTCTACCCGAACATACATAGTTCGTCTCTGATGTGGTTGAAACTATAATTTTAAATTATGGGTATAAGATTGTGTAGCATTATTCTTATCAGCACAGTATTAACCATAAATGCGAATGATTCTGCACAAAGCTGGTGGCAGGGAATTCCCAACGCTTTAATGGATCTGCTTACCATCAAAATGAACATTTTTACAGCATTTCCGCTTGAAGTAGCCATAAATGTTATTGATACCGTGTGTAAGTAAAATGAAAAAAGGAATATGGTTAAGGCTTTAACTGCAGTTTCCCATCACATGATGCATCACAGGCTCATCCACGATGTATATTGGAAGCGTTCCACCGCAAATAACGCCAGATATAACGAAGATGAACTTTCAGTACATGACGCCATGTCTGAACTATACTGTACCATTGTTGAAAGCCGAAAAGCTATGGAATCATCCAAGATTCCGAAAAAATCGCAAGTTGGTTATTCTAGCAACTGGGTGGACAAACACCGTTAACGATTCAGAAACTATAGCGATGATATCGAAGGCTTTTATGTGCCGACCTGGTGTTAACTTTGTGGTAGGGTAAACTAAAGCATCTCTCAAGTACTTATCCACTTAAGTTTGTATACATTTCAGATTGTGGATGCAGCCTATTATGTGGACACCTTGTACAAGTGGTCGGCTTTCAATACGGATTTGATTGGTGAGCACCTGGCTGTTGGGTTACAGCACTTGGTCGAGGTGATGCCGTTCATTGAAATTCACTTGATCGGTGAGTTTGCACAGTTTAGCTTTAGTTTCTGCTTGATTTATAGGCATTATAAATTGCCACAGGTCATTCTTTGGGTGCACATATTATGGGCAAAGCTGGTCGCTCTTTCGAGCGACTCACAGGACATTTGGTGGCACGTATAACGGGTCTGGATCCTGCCAAGCCCTGTTTCCGCTATGAAAAAGCGCTGCCCGGCCTGATGCGTGGCGATGCCAAATTGGTGGACATTATACATTCAAATATTGGCATACTGGCCAAACGTGATCCAATGGGTGACATTGACTTTTATCCAGGTGGAGTGCATCCCATAAAGCCCGGTTGCCTGTCCATTGGTTGCTCACACACACGTGCCGTTGAATATTTTGCGGAGAGTGTTTACCCAAGACAGGAAAGCAGCTACTTGGGCTGGAAATGCCATTCATGGAAGGAGCTCGAATGGCGAAAATGCGACACTCTCACAACTTCCACAATGGGTTACGTGATTAATTGGAAGGCCAAGGGTATCTATTATGTTGATGTGAATGGCAAGAGTCCGTTTGGAAAAAACCCCAATTCACCCAAACGAGGCCGCCTTGACTGTGTCAAGCATAGGTGTAAATACAAGAATTGAGTAACTCCAATCAGGAAACCGGTTCGGTTTCTATACCAGATAATTTAATTTCTTATATAATATCTATAGCTACATTTAGTATTTAATTATTATTCCATAATTTCTGTTAGATCTAGATCATCATCAAAGGCCTCGGCGATGCCCTTCTGGCTCTGGTAAACCTTCTCCTGTGTCTCGGCAATTTTCCACAGCTCGTCATCGTCGTCGCCATTTAGCATTGATCTGTTTGCGCCACCCTTGATCGCTGCTCGGAGTTTGTTATTCTGTTGAAGAGGGCCCGGCGCTCGTTTCTGACGATTGCCCATCAGGATCTGGCTCTCCTCAAAATAGCTGTTCGGGTGATTGATTGTCGGCTCCAGCGTTGAGTTGTGTGTCAGCATAAAGTATTTGCCGCAGGCGAATTGATAATGATTGCGTGAAACAAAGAACATGACTTCCTCGATGCCGGCAGGCGAAAGGCCAAAGGAAGAGAGTTTGGCTTTCAGCGCCGGTTGATCCAACGTTTTATATGGACACCCGTGGCAGTCACCAGGCGCGGCCATTTCCTTAATGATCTTCAGGCAGGAGTAGGGAGTATAGTTGACCATTGAGCCTTTCTTGCCATAGTTGTGTTGAATGTTGTATTCGTAGCTGCGTGCAAACTTATCGACGTCCATTTTCTTTGTGAACTCCTCACGCCAGAAGCGCAACGAATCCTCGAGGGTGACGCCAATGCCCTTTAGGAAGAGACCGTACTGCATGCGACCGCCGTGTTTGATGTGATGCTGGCTGCGTATGTGATCGTGGCACATACGCATGCACAGTGGCATCGATGTTTTCGATAGCTGATCCAGTGATTCGATCGGCACCGAGGCATCTCGGCACACAGTGTAATCCTTGCCCGTGTACGAGTTGTGCAGGGACTTGATCATGCGTGAGATGCGTTCGTCTGCCTCGACGTCAGCGATGAAGGATTTCGCTGCCTGCATGCCACGCTCGATTTCATCCAGCTGTCTAGCACCCACAATTGACACCAGATCGTGGGTATTCACATAAGCAAAGCCGGCCTTCAGATAGCAGCGACGCGACCGCACTAAATCCAATACTTGTGTAAAGGGCACTTTGTAGAATTCGAGCAGTTCAATCTTGGACACACTCTGGCCCACAGTGCTCTCATAGAGACCATCCTTCACCTCGTCCTTTTGCTCTTCCGTCAGTGGATGAATATGAAAGTCGTTCGCTTGAAGAAATTGCTTAATTTCCGCAGTACTTAGCGCAGCGAATTTATATTTGAAGAACTCCATTTCGCGTGCCACGAACCAGCGCAGCAAATCCTCTGAGCGACAGTAGGCCAAACGCAGTATAAAGTGCGACAAATAGTCACGGCGACGTACTTGTAGATCGGATTCCTGTTTGGTGGAGCTGCCGCTAGTGCCCATGCGCATATAGCTGCGGAGTCCATCTCTGGTCATTTCAGCATTCACATATTCCTTCCAGTCATCGGAGAGCAGGCGTAGTCCCTTTGTTGTGGCCCGATCAAAAACGCGCAGCAGACGTAAACGCTCCAAGGCAAGTTCTTCAAATTCATCAATATGCACATCTTCTGTTGGAGGGTAGTGATAAAGCATCACATTCTGTGGATACTTTGCTTCCAAGCTAATCACTTCGATTTTAACATCGTGTCTTGCTCGTTTCTTTAAATTAAAATCCATGCTGCAAACCAAACTCGATTGGATTTGTTTCGCTGAGCTGCTGGTAATAATGGCGCCAAAAAGTTGTCGGAACAGCTGTCGCATATATCGATAGCTATGCAATCGAAATGTTGTGAGACCGTAGCACGTATTTCGATCTATTTAAATACGTGTATATCGAAGCGGATCATATGTTTGCCGTTGGCGAACGCAGCTTTGATTAGGAATTTACTGATTAAATAAACGCAGGCTCGATATCAGTATCATCAATTGACGGAAATCGTACGCTCGTCTGGGCCATCTCGTGTGGCTTATAAAATCATTTCACCAACAAGACAAAAACACAAGCTTGGTATAGATTAAAAGACCATAACTGCTAATGAGTTTCTTTCTCTCATTTTTATTATTATCATTATCATCTTTATTGTGGAGCCTAGCACTAGACGGTTTCTTCAAGATCTTCACTGTAAAATGGATCTCTGTAGAATGTAGACATTCTATATTGTACAAATCTTCAGATTTTAACAAATTGTTCTTTACAATTGCTTTCTTATTCTAAATATGGTTTTCATGTATATCAGGTACTTAAAAAACTGACTAGGATTCATATTAAGTAAAGCTTTACAGCCCCTTACGCTGGGGCCTTGGAAACTTTTGTTGCAATGCCAATGAGCTCTAAAGATTTTCTTAGGCGCTTCCAAAAGAATTTACGTTCCTCCAAAGTGGGCTGCTTATCTCCTTTACTTGGCCATTTAATATAGGTTTTTATGTCCATTAAATATTGCAGTGTTTTTGGACGTTTACTGCGTGGGATATCCTCCAGAAAAACTAGAATCAAATGCTCCTTGCTCGTTTCAAAAATGCTGTGGAAAATGGAAGAATAATTCTAATTACTTTAAAGCATAAGGCAAGCATTTAGTACGCACCGATGTTGGGCCAGATACATTTCAAATTGACACCAATGACTAAGTAGAAATTTGGATGAGATCAGCAACATAAGTGATCGCGAACGATCCATACACGAAATAATATTATCCAGTATAGTTACACCAATCTGTACCGAATTTAGAATCAGGTGTTAGGCATATGTTAACGAATTATGTTAAAAATAAATTGACATACCTGAAAATCACGTTCGTGCAGACATATTGAAATATCCCCAGACTCCTCAACATTGGGTAACAATTCGTCCAAGAGCCACTGACGATCATTTTGACAGTAGCTAATAAAAATGTCATATATTACACCGGGATCTTCTTCGCTTAGACGATGAAATTTATCAAGAGACTCCTTCGAAGCCCGGGATAAAAGCGCTGCCGATTTGAGAGATGCATAGTAATAGTGAATGTGCCAACGCTTAAGATAAATGATAAATCCAAAAATCAATAAGAACAACAAACTACCAACTACAGCCATCACTACTGTGATATAATGGCTTATTTGCGTTTCAAGATCGCTCAAAATGTTAGTCTGGCAGACTAGGTCTTCCACCAGTAATTTTTCGGTCTCGTCAAAGCACCAGTAATGATTTACATCATAATCCAATAACTGAAATTTCAAATCCGTATCGTTTACTGTATTCGGTGTTGAATCGGGACACCTTTTAGCCATTTGAAATTGCATCTTGATTATATTATTCAGGCGCTTGTAATCTTTAATGTTTTTATAGCTTTCATCTAGCAGTGGCACGTATCGTCGCTTCCACACCACATACTCCATAAGCCGTGTAATGATTGTACCCAACTGATTCACACCGTTAATATTGTTAGTATTCAACTCAGAGATTACATTCTTCAGGATATCGTATGAGCAATCAGCTTCTTTATTATTCTGAGCTGCCACATCGATTACCTTTCGCAGGTTGCAGTTACAGAGAAAGTTATTATCGCCGAGACTGAGATACTCCAGCAGTTCAAAATCCTTAAGCATTTCGATGGTGAGCATGTTGACATTGTTGCTGCGGACACTCAAAACCCTCAATGACAAATTGTTGAAAAACACACTCCGATACCAGTTGCCAATGTGATTGTAGCTCAGGTCGAGTACCTGTAAGCTAACCATAGATTGGAATACATCGCCTGACAGGGCGTTTATATTGTTACCGGCCAAGCCCAGGATCTGCAGATTTTTAAGCGGCTTTAGCCAGCCAATATCCTTTATATTGGAGCGTTCAAAGTAGAGACAAACAAGTGTTTCCCCAATGCCCTCAAAAGCATCGTCGACAATGTTATTTGACACAATTGGATTACCCGACAAATCAAGTCCCTCGAGTATTGTGTTCTTGAACAGGCCATTGGTCATCATGGGAAACGATGTATAACACAAACTGAGATATTTTAGTTTATCTCCCAGATGCGTGAAGGCCACAGCACTATTTCTGGTCATTTTCGAGTGCGAGAGGTCCAAATAGATGAGTTCTGGCAGCATCTTAAATGCGGTTTGATGGATCTTTAGACCATAAAGCAGATTTATGACAACTTCAATAGTTGGCATCGAGAACGGATAGCTATAGCTTAAAACGTTCATGAACGACATGTCTAGATATTGCACTTGTTGTATGTGGAAAAACGTATCCACGTTTATAGTGAAAATCTTATTGTTTGATAGAAAGAGCTTCCGCAGGTTGTTCACATTTTGGAATGCCTCCTTCCTCACATACTCGATGCTGCAGTTACTAATATCTAGCTCCAGAAGATGCGGTAGACTGGGAAAGGTAGCCCATGCAATGCTCTCTTCTAAATAATACAAAATAAATAATAATAGAAGATAAATAGTAATGGCAATGTACGTTGGGAAATTGTAATTGTGTGTTCGATGGGGGTTTAAAATAGTGTGTAAAAGTGCATATGTAAAGTGTATGTCTTACTTGAGGAGCCAAATATATTGTGTTTTTTTTTTAGATTTGTTATGTAATCTTCATAAATGAAGTCTTGTGTTTTTGTGTTGTCAATGTTGTCCCTTGCTTGGTAGTATTGCAAACATTCCCGATCATACAGATCAGAGTTGTAAGTGTTATTTTGTGCTAAACGCTCTTCGCATTTGCTATTAGTTTCATTTTCTGGATATCGTGCCACTTGTAAATACTTCTCAATTGCTGAAATTTCGTAAAGAGCCTGTAATCAGTCTGATTGTGTTTGACTTCGCTAAACAATTGTGTAATCGATTAGAACCTGATCAAAACTTCTCTACTTACCATCCACGTCATGATTGAGGGCGGCAAATTGATTGCCTTGCAGTGATAAATATTTCAGTGACCCCCTCATTGATAATAGAGTTTGAAAGGGTGCTGAATTCAGATTGTTGTAGGCAGCCGAGAAGACTTCAACTTTTTGAAAGCTAAATTTGCGTGCAGCTGTTATTACATTCAACAATTCCATATCCTCTGATATATTAGCATAAGAAATATCCAAATACTTTTTATTCACTGTAGAAAAATAATAAGTTAGCATATTCATTAACTTTGTCATTTTTATAATATATATTAATATGAGCGAATTTTTTATACGCTTAGTTTGATGCAATTTATAAAATAAAAATAAATCATTGTGCAATACAACAGAACAATCGGTAATCTTAATCACAAATTTCGAGTCAATAAATTCTATAATAAATACTAAACATTGATTATCGTTTTATTTTTGATAGGACAAATTGAAACCTGTAGAAACTCTTGCAATATTGCAATTTTACTTAACTGCTTCATTCATATTACTTACTGTACTTGGAAATTGGAGTCCTGAGTGTTCCATTGGGATATGACCATGACAAAATTTGCTGTTTTAGATTATCCAAAATACAAGTATTTCCATCGTCAGTATCGTATTTCACGAAAATTGATTTAAGGTCTGTGTCATTAATATCGTACTGGTTGTTTTCAGCATCGGTGTCTAGCGATGGATTTGCAAATGCTGGACTTAGGGTATCTGCCAAATGGAACGTCCTTAGTTGAGGAGTGTCGTTCGCGGATTCATAAATACTGGACTTTTCTATGTTATCGCCTTTTAAAACCTTTAATCTTGATTGACGTATGTGCAATTGTAGAATAAGCACTATTAGAATTATTTTTAATGTGTGGTACATTTTATAGTCCTTGCAACGTATTGTTCACAAAAGGTTTTGCTTTCTTATCACCAATATGTTTCGTTTCATTGAAATACATATAACTTTATAGATACAATGTCTTTATTCTATCGAAATGGACACTTAAGTTGACACTACTTGTTGATAGATTAGATCCGATTATCCGCTGTTTGTATCTATCTAAAAACGGAACACACTTTTTCTGTAATTTATTTTTGTTTCGTTTGACATACTGCACTCAAGAGAGCAAAAGCGAGACTAATGGTCAATCGAATCGCTGAAATCGTGAACATGTTGTGAGTATGAATAATAGTGTTATGACACGATAGGGCTTATCAATTTTGGCAATATATATTCTTTCGCTTTTGCATGGGTTTCAGTTTCACTTATCAGTTTAGCCGCCTTATGGCAGCCGCGCGCTCCTCTTTGCGCCCACAACTTGACTATTGTGTTCACATTTGCAGACAATACAGAAATGAAATCTAAAAAGTCATCACCAATACGATACGGGGATTTGATGGAGCTCTCTTTCCGCACAACACATTCCTGCTATTGGTCATAATCTAAAGAGAGAATACGAACAAATATATTTGGCTCATAAATTAGCTTAACTACTTTAAATTGAAGTATATAATGCTCAATAATATAGATTATACATTTATAGATATGGCCTCAATGAAAAGTGTGTGCCATTGTTCGCTTTTGCAAAGCTGAGATTAGAGTTGGAATTTGTATGTATTGTACACCCCTTTCAGTTTATATTTTTATCTATAGTGTGATCTTATATATTGCATTTTAAAAAATTGCTTACAATTTTCAAACCAAGCAAATAATAAACAATAGCATTTTCTTTGGTACTGCAAATCATCTTTTGTTGTATTTTTATATTTTTTGAAATGTTATCGAAATAAACTGGATTTTGTAATCGATATTACTCGAAAAATATCGCATGTTGTAATTTGCGATATTTCTACAGGATTCATCATATGACTGTTGAGATGCAATATTTTAAATAGTAATTAATTAAGTTCACATAACATTGTGGTGGATTTTTTTTATTTACATATTTACTAGGCCTACAGTTGTTCATTGTTAGCATTTTTAGTCAGTCACGAGAGAAATGAGCACCTCTAACGTATGCTAACTGTAGGCCACCCACCACCCACCCTACAAAATCCCGATTCCTAAACTAAAACTCACAACAGACGAAGCGACCAGACGTCGCAATACTTGCAATACACAAATCTAAGTCCAACCACCCAATCCACCCTTTTGGGTGGACTACCCCGCCACCTTCGTTAATGTTTAAGCAACCACCTTCTGTTATCACTCGCTCGCTCGCTCTCACTTTCGTCCTCTCTCTCGCACTCGCTTACTCCCTTGCAGCAGCAATTGCCGGCAGTTGGCACGTCCGCAAAGGACATGCAGAAGGACGACATTGTCGGTCGGCCGTGCTTCGGGTGTTCACTCGTGTCATGTTTGTGCTTTGGTTGCGAGATTTGAGTCGCGTGCCTGTCAGTTTGCATGCGTCGCTGTTCGTGGTTGAAAGTCCGTTGCAAGTCGCACCGATTTAAGATACAATAATAGCGTAAAGCGTATCGCTGAAAGTAGCGTATGCGTCGGTCTTTGTGACTCACCAGGCAACACGGTAAAGGCGCCTGAAAATGCCGGGAAATATATTGTTTATGTGAGCAACTCGTCGCCGCGTTTGTTGTGCAGTGTTTTGTGGTCAAGCGCTACTTGAAAATCTCTGAAAATTGAGTTTGGAAATCGCAGTGAAATGCCAAAAGCAAACAATGGCCCTTCAGATTGTCATGGCGTCTTTTTGCGCCAGTAGACAACCAAACAATATGTATCCATACATAAGGATGTGCCCAAATTAAGCTCCTTCAAGTGGTGCTTTAGTTTTTACGTGACTTTCGGGCACATCAACTATAAGTATAAGTATAACCATATGCATCTCCACACAAAGGTAAATGATAACAGCAATTTGAATGCGAATTATGCATTTCCGTGTCACAACTGTCGCGCTCATCGCTGCTGTTGTTGTTGTTGCTGCTGTTCCTGTTGTTATTTGTTGGTGGTGTCTTTAAATTTGCCTGCAATTTGGGGTGTTTTTGACTAAGGAACAGGTATGGGATAATCAATGCCTAGTACACCAAACAGAATTCACTTTGTGTTGTTATTTGAGAGCTACAACTGAGTCTACATATATTTTTATTTGTTTCTATTTTATTTGATCCTAATATTCATATTTTATTTTATTTGGTATTAGTTTACATTACAAAAATAAAACTAAGAATCATAGTTTTCTATTGCATTACAAAAATTATAGAGCTGCTCAAATAATTGGTTTAGTTGCAAAAGAAATAATGGTGCAATTAAGTGCATAAATGAACTTAAACTTCATGTCCTTGCCTTAAGGCATGACAAGGGAAAATACTGAAGTTAGACACTGACCAGACAGGCATAATGGACATGCCGAACAAAAGGAAGAATTCGTCGAAAAGGAAAAATAGAATTTTTGGTTTATTCCCTGCATTAGATGGTAAATGCTCTGAACTCAGTATTGACCTTAGTTGGGGTTGGCCAAATAATTGAAGCAGGCGAGGAAAGCCACAAAAAATGTATACACAAGGTAGGAAAATAATGAAAGGACGACACGCGATAAGCAGCATGGGGGGCACAAACACATGTGAAAAGTCTACGGATCACAAACTATTTGGTGTAAATGAGTTTTTGTATATATATATTCATATATATAACAGCTCAAATTCATTTAAAAACTGAATACTGCGCATATTCTGGAAATTGCTAATAATTTGTGTTAACTTCCTTTTTTGTTGGATCATAGAAAGACGGCTAACGAGAAAACTATTTAAAACAGCAACACATCAAAAATTTTAGTGGCTTGCAAATGAGCAACTATAAAAAAAAAATTTCGTTCATCAGGTTGCCAGTCGAGCAGAAAATGGAGGTTGCGTAATTTGCCACAGTGTTCCAAAGTTGGAACTTGCACTTTTTGCCCAGTTTTTGTACAAGTTTCCTTCCCTTTAATTAAATATAAATATGGCTTTTGCCTGCCAGACAAAAGCAAAAGCTTCGTTTTTTTAAAAATATTTTCATAGTTTTGATTCTTAATCCAGATATCTTTGAGCTAAATAACTTACCAACCAATTTCTTGACATGCTAAACTTTAATCAAAGAATAACAAACTTTTTTCTATGATCTTATTCTTGGTTCATGCACTCTATGTAATTTAATATTTAAAACTTTCCATTATATCTTTATTTACTAGGCATTCTCTTGTGCCTTACAAATTTGGATTAGCGAGTAGCATTGGATTAGTAATTTGTTAAACCAACAATTTACTTTTGACTCGAAGGGCTTTTGTAAGTTTTCATTTCGTAGTGCTCCCTCCTTAGCTACCCATAGTATATGTAAATGGTATGTATAAATGTTTTGAGTGAAGCAGGCGTGTCGTATAACAGCGTCCAAGGCGTGAAGGGGACTTTTTAGAGGGCTTCAGTGCATTTTGCATTTAATTGTAATTTCAACTTTAACAAACTTATGCCAAAATGAGAAGAAGAAGTCTGCTCTGACACTAACAACTAAATAAGTACTTTAATGAAGGTATTTTCTTGGTATAATCATTTCTCATTTAACTGAAATAAGTTTTTGCTTTGTTCACTTTCACAGACTCATTCAATTTTGCCTGATGTGTATTGAGGCAGTTTTCATTTCCACTTGAAGGACTTATAGTGTACTTAATTGCATAAGTTTTTAGTTTATTCTCAAGTTGAAATAAAACTTTACACATTATGCTTAAGGCTTTTCACATTTTATTTAGATTGTAGTGGCTAAGCAAGCTGCACAAACATAAAGTTCCTATGACAACAAAACAAATATCTTTAACTGAAGGAAATGTCGCGCAATTTACCGGATTTATAAAGATTTACGACCACAGAATTCGCCAAAAAAAAAAAATGTCTAAAATTCAATTTGCACGTGTGTCATAAATTTGACAGCAATAAAATTCAATCAAATATTTCATTACAAAATATACAAAAAAATGTAATTTACTTCTGGTGCTAGACGACAGCACATACATAAATTGTACTCACTGTTCCAGTTCCTTACTCCTCTACTCCTGCTTCTTCAGCTCCTCCAGCTTTCTTCTGCCTCACTGCCTGAATGGTGTTTGCTTCCTGGTTCCCGGTTCACCTTAGCTTTCGCTTCCTTTTTCCCCTCCATACCCCCCTCTCGTCTTATTTATGAGTTGCCTGGTGGCTGTGCTGCTGGCTGTCTCCGTCTCTAAAGTGTTGCGCTGATAAGGAGCTGTTCGTCTATGAGGTGTTTGTGTGTCTGTTGGAGGGGCACATTTCAACGCATATTCAAATTAGATTTATCCGTTTACGGTTGAATAACGTCAGCTGGTACATTTTGGACTTGGTCCTGTCAAACATATAAATTTAATGATAATTTTTTTGTCTGATTACATTCAGCGTGTCCTGATTGCTTGTATAAACAATATAAAAATATTTCATAATTTTATTCATGAGTTTTCACAAAAATTACGGAAAATATGCTGACCACACTCTTCTGCCTAAGTGGATACATGTGTTTTAAAAGTTGCCAAAAGCGAGTAATTTAACTTTGTAATGAGGGCCCATAAAGTAGGCGTTTATATTATTTTTGATCACATATTTTTCATATACCATTTTAGTTGTGAAACAATTTTAACCAAACTTTTAACTAATGCTTAACTTTACACTTTATCGGATTACAGTCCTCGAATCAGAAAAAAATACGATCATTTAATTTTAATTAGTAAGGATGATTAATATAAATGTATAAATATTTTATATTTAAAACAGAGTATCAAGACTTCGACCGCATTACAATTTTGAGCTTCGTGATAAGTACTAAAAATACTTTGCATATTTTATGCATACTTGTGTTTTAATAATTCGAGACATGTTCAGCTTATAATTAAATTGCTCAAACATAATAATTATCTTCTTTTTAATGTGCCAAAAAAAACTTCGCTTGATTATAAATATTGACCTGCTATTTCCAACGAGAAGTTTCTGTTAAAATTTAACCGAAGTGTGCACAAAGAATTTAAACTGCTTTTTCTTTGTATTTTATTATTTTTATTGTACGTCTGTTCGCGACATCTCCATTCAATGGGAATAAATGCTCTGGCGCCAAAAAGTCGGCATTAAAAATTGACTATTCAGCAAAAATTCATCCAGCT